CGAAAGAAAGAGTGATAATATTTTTAATATATTTATCTAGACAATATAAAAAGATTAAATTGTTTGTGCTTGTTTGTTTAATATAATACTTCATCCATTTTGGATATTTTGTCCGTTTTAATGTAGAGACGAGAATTTAGGAAATGTATAATTAGTAAATAATTAAAATGTATTAGTGAAAATAATTATAATATAATAAAAAAATTATAAATGAAGATTAAAATATAATTTATTAGTATAATTAAAATTTAAAAAATTATAAATTAAATTTCTTAAAATAAGATTAAAATGCATAATTTTTTTTTAAAAAATGACAAAATAAGTGAGATTGACAGAAATGAAAATATAGACATGAGAAGTGAGACTGAGAGAGTATATATTTCATCTATTCACAAAAAATCGATATTTCAATACAATTTTTTTTATACAATAAACACGATTTTTTTGTATTTAATATATAAAAAAAAAAAAAACACATATCTAAACACATCCAAAGAGTTTGTTTATTCAATCTATTTTTAGTTGGCGACTCTCCATAAATATTATAAAAAATACAATATACTATAAGTTTTTAACAATATATAATATATATTTTATTTACCTAAACAATTAATATTTCAATATAAAATATTATTTTTTATATTGTCAATATAATTCTCATACCTAATACTCCCTCTGTCATTTAAATCAAATCTATGCTTACTTTTCTTTTTGGGTTGCCATAAAAAAATATTTTCATTTTTTTAAATAAAAAATCATTACACTTTTGAACTTTTTTTACTATAAAAGAAAAAAGTAACAATTATTACTCATTTTTATTAATATTTGTGTTCGGTCAAATGAACACACATTTGCATGACGGAGAAAATATAACAAAATATTTAGGCAAAATAGCAAAAAAAAAACCCATGTGGTTTTCCGAATTCACTGAAAACCCTTCATGATTTTAAAATTCCAAAAAACGTACTTGTAGTTTCCAAAATGTTGCACACTCGCTCCTTCCCTCTACATCGTTAAATATTCGACCGTTATGCCTTTATTTATATTTTTTTGTTTTTTATTCCCACTTCTCCAACACATCCACTCTTATTTATCCTTCCTTCTACTGCATTCACTCCCATCATCTTCTTCTTCATTTCTCGTTTTTTTTTTTCTCCAATTTTCTTTCAGAAGTTCGGTGAAAAAATCGTAGTACTAGACACCGTTGTTGTTCGGAGTCGAAGCCGCGCTCTGCCGGAGGAAGAGCCCTTGAATGTCTGTTTTTCTCAGATTCTTTTTTCTTACTTTTTCTTCCTCAATTCTTCTTCGGGGCTAACAGTTCTGTTTTACTTCAATTATTTTTCAAACTTTTTCTTCAAGACGAACAGTTCTTTCTTCTTCTTTTTTTCCCAATTGTTTTCTTCTTTTTTCAAGTGAACTGGTTATTTTTTTTATTTTTTTTTCCCAATTTTTTTCTTCCTCCTTCTCCTTCTCTAATTATTCTTCAGGCAAACAGGTTATTTTTATTTTTTTTCTCCAATTTTTTTCTTCCTTCTTCGTCCCCAATTCTTTTTTAGACGAACACGCTATTTTTTCTTTTTTTCCCTAATAATTTTCTTCATTCTTCTTCTTGCTCAATTCTTCTTCAGGCTCTTTCTTTTCTTATTTTTTTAATATGTTTTCTTTCTTTTTCTTCTTCTTCTCCAATTGCGCATAGGTTTTTTTTTCCTTTACGTACTTATCCAATTCTTCTTCAGCTCACCACATTTTAAAAAAAAAATAAAATATATTCTTCCTTTTTCTTCTCCAATTCATCTTCATCAGGCGCACCAGATTCAAGAACGACAAGATATTTATCATTTCTGAGCTCGAATAGACAAATAAAAGAAGGGAATGAGAGAAGAGAGAAGGGGAAGAAGAAAATAGTGCTCATATGGTCATTTTAGTCACTTCCAAAGATATTTATCATTTTTGGACAAAAAAATCGCATTTAAGGCGCGTCACATACACTCTCTTAACGGAGAGGGATTTTATGCAACGTTTTACGATCACAAATAAGTTTTTTAAAATTTTAAAACTGTGAAATTTTTTAATAAGTTCAGCAAATTATAAGAGATTTTACGCTATTTTGCCAAATATTTATACAAAATACAAAATAAATACACATAAAGTAAAACACTCGTATAAAATAAAATTAAGGTTACGTGTGATTAAGAACACATTCCCATAATACAAAAGTATTTAAAAAGTTATACCAGATATTATCCTATAATAATATTCCAGTCCCATCAATATTCCAATTTCCAGTCCCATCACATCTTACCTTATTTAGTAATAATACTAAGGGCGTATTTGTTTGGGGTTTGAATTTTAAGTTGAGATTTGAATAGTAAAAATTTTGAATTTGAATAGTTGTATGATGTGATATAAATAGGTGTTGATGTGATATTTTGAATATAAAATTGATTTTTAATATAATATAAAAAATAAAAAATAAATATTTGATTTGATGTTTTTTAAGGGAAAAAATGAGATGAATGCCGATCCCCCAAACAAACACACCCATAAATGATACATTTGAAATAATAATAATAATAATAAAGTAGATCCATGTTCATGATACAATGTGGGTTGGCCCATAAAGCCCAGGTAACTTAAGCTTGGCCCATATGTCCAAACGGGCTAAATTAATTTGGGCCCAATTGTGATCCGACCCAAATTCATAATTAATAGTTTTAGAATCGAACCGTGCCTAACTGATCCGACCTCTGAACGACACGTGTGCCTCGGGTGCATCGAACGTGCGCGCGTTTGTTTTCATTTCTAATTATGTGGACTTTGAAAAAGGTTTACTATTATTTCGGTGAACCTGTCTTCATTTTTGAGAGTTTTTTTTTACACACACTCCCAACGGGAATTTCACCAAACACATGCACATACGCACTCACCCAAGATCGAACTTGGGACCCCAACCCTCAAGCGAGAGATCTGTCACCGCTTGATGACATTTTCATTTTGAGAGTTCTTGTGGCGGAGCTGAAGGGATCAAATTAAATATTTTTATAATTTTTAACGGAATCCCTCCGTTCCATTACAATTGAAACTATTTTCATTTTTATCTGTAATAATAGACACATTTTTATTTTTAGAAAAATTATTAAACAAAAATATATTTAACAAATATAAATCAACTTAATTAACTACATAACATACAGCATCATAAATGACATAGGACCGACACAAAATCCCTCTATTTCTACATCTCTCATAAAAATAAATAAATATTTTTTATTTATGTTTAGAAGTACACATTTTTTTATAAAATTGATTTATGTTAATTATAAATAAAAAAATATTTTTTTATCTACTTGTATTGTAAAAGATTTTATTCTCTACAAAATGATATTGCATATATCTTTTTAATTGCTATATAATTTTTAAATATTTTAACATATATTTTATTTTTTTATCATATATATTAAATTTACTTTAAAACTATAAATATTATTAATTATACAAAAAATAATATAATAATATAACAATTAATTATTATTCACTAATTAAATATTTTCACCTTAAATACTATGTTGTTAATTAAAGTGTTCAATTTCAATTGGATGGTGGGAATATTTACGTAGTCAATCAAAAAAAATATCAATTTAATAAAAGTTATTTGAATTTAGCCGTACGAATGGTTTATATAATCAATTAATATATTTGACATACGAGAATTGATATTTTAACATTGTATAGAATTTTTCAAAAGTAGAAAAATTAAAATTTCAAATTAAATAAATTCATTCTCCATTTTAAAATTAGATGCATTTTTATTAATATTATTTTATTAGTCAATCGTGGAAAGAGTTTTTTTGTTATTTGACTAAAGTAATTGTATATTTGTATAAGTAATCTTATATTTTAAATTTAGGTAAAAGTTAAAAAATATTTTAGTATTAGTATATAATTATTTTAGAAGTAAGACAAACGAAAATTATAAAACAGAAACTGAAGATATCTTAGGGTGTGTTTGTTTTGGGATTTGGATTTTGGGTTAGGATTTGAATAGTAAAAATTTTAAATTTGAATAGTTGTATAATGTGATATAAATAGGTGTTGATGTTATGTTTTGAATGTAAAATTGATTTTTAGTATAATATAAAAAATGAAAAATAGGTGTTTGATTTTATATTTTTGGGGGAAAAAAATTGGATGAATAGTTGAATTTAAATCCAATCCTCCAATCAAACACACCCTTACAATATACACATTTACTTTTGGTGCGATCTTTAAAAAACAATAGTATTTTAATTATAGTGGATAGTTAAAAATAGTATAATGATATTTTTGTTTTACTTTTTTTTGTGTAAAAGTAATGATGTGATGTAAAATAAAAATATAAAAAAATAAGATATTTAATGAAATGTTATAATTAGACGTCCCAGATGGAGTATAAAATATTCTAGATATTTCATTTCGGTATGCCCAATTTTTTAATTTAAAATAAAAAACAAAAAATACTTTTACTTCCCCATCTCATAATAAAATATCTATTTTTTTTATTTTAGTCCGAATAAGTATCTATTTTTTCATTTTAGTCCGAATAAGTATCTATTTTTTTAGTAACTGTATTGTCTACCTAACATTAAAAATATCGTTACAATTTACAATATATTACACAAATATCATTACTTTTATATCATACCATACTAATAAGGTTATTTTAATTATTTCTACTTTATTTTTATTACATCATAATATAATAATACTTCTAAAATTACGTGTAAAAAATAAATGAATATCTAGTTATGGGAGAGAGGAGTAACTAAAATTTGTCTAAGCACACACTCGATGATTTGAGTCACTCGCAAATATGATTACATTAAAGAAAATAAAATTGATTAGTCAATTAATGAAAAATCAGGTAAAACCTAATTTCGTAATGATTAACGAAATTGAATCCAAACACGGCCCTAAGTTAAGGCCTCCACGCCTCATCCGCTGCTGCATTGTAACCACACACCATACACGATTCGATACGATACGATACCCGAATCCAAACGTAGCACACCACACTCTCTTCCTACACTCGCTTCATCTTCATCTTCATCTTCATCGCCGCCTCCACAAAGATCCGAGATGACGCTGCTACCGGATCTCGCCACTCAGATTATCATCCCAGCCTGCGCCATTGTCGGGATAGCTTTTGCGCTCGTGCAGTGGCTGCTCGTATCCAAGGTGAAGATTTCGGCGCACCAGCCTGACGCCAAAGGCGTAGGAGTCACCGAAGCATTGATCGAGGAAGGGGAAGCCCTCGCCGATCATTCCGTTGTTGGCAAGTGCGCCGACATCCAATCCGCCATCTCTGAAGGTGATTGTTCATCTTCTGTTTTTATTTATTTATTTTAGTTTTAAAATTTGAGCGTGATGCTTTGCATGTGTGTGGAGAATAGAGCGGGCAATGTATCCTGGAGGTTTTGATATGTGGAAAGGAATTAATTGGGGATTTTCCTTTAGACGAATGTCGAATCATCGCGTGCGTTTGATTAATCCAATAGTGACAGTCATGATTGATTCGATTTTGTATTATAATTTCTTACTACTTTTCAGAGGTTCTGGAATATTCAACACAGAAATCACCTTCTCCTTCGAGAAAGTTTGATTGCTTTATCTACCTTTCTTGTATTTATTGTTATCTGTTTGTTGTCGTTTCTGTATCAAATTCTTGTTGACATGTGTTGTTCATGTAATATTAATCTTTGGTAATTTATCCACTCCATGGTAATTAGTTAGGTGTTCTTATTGCATTATTCCTTTTTAGTTACAGTTTGATGACAACACAAGTTTGTTTGTTAATTGTATAGATTGAATGAGAAATGTTGGAATTAAATTTTACCAGAGTGTAAACAATGAAGCTTGCTAGAACTGATGCTCAAAGGTATCTGTAATGTAATTTAGTTGAGAGCTAAAAACGTTTAATTATCCCGAGCAAACAATGACCATAACTTCTAACCTAGTGTTTATTGATTGAGTAAAATTGTTCCTTTATATACCCTGTCAAGGCATAGAATTGTTCTTGAAAATTTTAGGTCAATGTTAATTTTGTGGCTCAGTGAAGTTAAAAAGGGACTTCAGTTGTTTGAAGTGATTGTTAGCATTAGGAGCCGAAAGCTTGTGTTTGTTCATTTCTTTGCAATTCAGTTCTTGAATGAGGAATTAATAACTTGAAAGCCATCTATAATCAGTTTATTCGGCGCAAATAGAAAATCGTATTCCCTTCAATGGTTTGGTGTTGTAGATTCTTGTCTATGGCTCTTAGGTTCCTTCGAATAAGCTATTTCTGATGCTGCAGGTGCAACATCATTTCTTTATACCGAGTACCAGTATGTTGGTGTGTTCATGGTTTCTTTTGCCATATTAATCTTCCTCTTCCTCGGCTCCGTGGAGGGGTTCAGCACCAAGAGCCAACCATGTGTGTACGACAAGAGTAGATTGTGCAAGCCTGCTCTTGCCACAGCTGTTTTTAGCACCATATCCTTCCTTCTCGGCGCTGTCACATCTGTGATCTCTGGCTTTCTTGGAATGAAAATTGCGACATATGCTAATGCCCGAACTACTTTAGAGGCTAGGAAAGGCGTTGGGAAGGCTTTCATTGTTGCATTTCGGTCTGGTGCAGTTATGGGTTTCCTCCTAGCAGCGAACGGTCTTCTGGTTTTATACATTGCCATAAACCTCTTCAAGCTATATTATGGCGAAGATTGGGAAGGCCTATTCGAGTCCATCACTGGCTATGGCCTCGGTGGATCTTCAATGGCACTTTTTGGCCGAGTTGGTGGAGGTATCTACACTAAAGCAGCTGATGTAGGAGCTGATCTTGTCGGCAAGGTGGAAAGGAACATCCCCGAGGATGATCCCCGGAACCCTGCAGTATGTCTGTCTGTTTACTTTTGAAAGCTCAAAAATTTCCATCCCAAGTAACTTACTCCATTAACATGAACTTCTTTATTTCGAAATCCTCTCAGGTCATTGCAGATAACGTTGGGGACAATGTCGGAGATATCGCTGGTATGGGATCAGATCTTTTCGGTTCATACGCAGAATCTTCATGTGCAGCCCTTGTTGTAGCTTCCATCTCTTCTTTCGGAGTTAACCATCAGTTGACTGCTATGCTGTTTCCTCTTCTCGTTAGCTCTGTCGGAATTCTTGCTTGCTTGCTTACGACGTTGTTTGCAACTGACTTCTTTGAGGTCAAGAATGTGAAAGAAATCGAGCCAGCCCTGAAAAAGCAGCTCATAATCTCGACATTTCTGATGACTATCGGCATCGCTGTTGTTAGCTTCGTCTCCCTTCCATCCTCCTTCACAATCTTTAACTTCGGAGAACAGAAAGAAGCCAAGAACTGGTGAGTTCTTCATTTTCACGATCTCTTCGAAGCGTTTCATTCATTTCTTCGTCTGTAATGAATTTTCCGGATTCGGTGATCTCAGGCAACTCTTTATATGCGTAGCTGTTGGTTTGTGGGCTGGCCTAGCGATCGGATTTGTTACCGAATACTACACAAGCAATGCTTATAGGTACATTTCCATCTACAGCATAAAAACGATCGATGAATCCGAATGATTTTATTTTACCTCACATTCTGTTCTTGTTCGTTTTTCAGCCCGGTGCAAGACGTTGCTGATTCATGCCGTACCGGTGCAGCCACCAATGTCATCTTCGGCCTCGCCTTGGGGTATAAATCTGTCATTATTCCAATTTTCGCCATAGCGATCAGCATTTTTGTTAGCTTCAGTTTCGCGGCGATGTATGGGATTGCTGTGGCTGCCCTCGGGATGCTTAGTACCATCGCAACCGGATTGGCCATTGATGCCTACGGTCCCATCAGCGACAACGCTGGAGGTATTGCCGAGATGGCCGGCATGAGCCACACCATCCGCGAGAGAACTGATGCCCTCGACGCCGCAGGGAACACTACAGCAGCAATTGGAAAGGTAACCGTTGTTTTCGCCATAAAATTAGCTCTGTATTTTCGCTAGAGCTATAAACGAGCCGATCAGAGCCGAACTTGTTATGTTTGAGCTCGGCTCCTTTAGCAATTTGTTGTTCGTATTAGGCTTGGCTCGTTAAGAGAAATTTTATTTTATTTATTTTATTTTATTATTAAATATAAAATTATTAATTTAATTTTTCTAATAAGTACTACGAACGTTCGCGAACAAACTCGAACTCGTTCGTGAACATAACGAGTCAAAATTTATGTTCGTGTTCGGCTCGTTTAGCTTAATGAACGAGCTCTTAGCGAGCTCAAACGAGCCGAGCTCGCGAACTGTTCGATTGTTTTACAGCTCTAATTTTCTTTAAGCGAAAACATTTTGCTTCCTTTCGACTTCAGGGATTCGCAATAGGCTCTGCGGCACTCGTGTCCCTCGCTCTGTTCGGCGCATTTGTGAGCCGCGCGGATATTCAAACCGTAGATGTTCTCACTCCAAAAGTTTTCATCGGTTTGATCGTCGGCGCCATGCTTCCCTACTGGTTCTCGGCCATGACGATGAAGAGCGTTGGCAGCGCTGCTCTCAAGATGGTCGAAGAAGTGCGGCGACAATTCAACACCATCCCCGGCCTCATGGAAGGCACTGTGAAGCCCGACTATGCAACCTGCGTCAAGATCTCCACGGATGCATCGATCAAGGAAATGATCCCTCCAGGCGCGCTCGTCATGCTCACTCCCCTCATCGTCGGCACTTTCTTCGGCGTCGAAACTCTCTCCGGCGTTCTTGCTGGATCCCTCGTCTCCGGCGTTCAGGTATCCCTCGTTTCTCGCACCATTCCTCCGAAAATTTTAATCGTCGTATACAACAATGACAGCGCGCGCTTTCTACAGATCGCAATATCTGCATCAAACACCGGCGGCGCTTGGGACAACGCCAAGAAATACATTGAGGTAAGCGTTCTAACGAAGATTGCATAAATGACGCCTCGATCTTTCCACAAACTCACGATTCGATTCTACAGGCCGGTGCTTCGGACCATGCGCGAAGTCTTGGCCCGAAAGGATCAGACCCACACAAAGCTGCCGTGATCGGGGACACGATTGGCGATCCCCTTAAGGACACGTCGGGGCCATCATTGAACATTCTCATCAAGCTAATGGCCGTTGAGTCGCTCGTGTTCGCGCCATTCTTCGCCACCCATGGCGGGCTGCTCTTCAAGATTTTCTAAACCTCGGTACGATCATCGACTTCTCCGAATCTTTCTTTTTCATTCTTCGGAACGTAGCGTAGCGTGTTAATTATTAGGACTTTGAAGTTTTTCGAGGATCGTTTTTTAGTCTCGTTCAAAATAATATTAATTATATTTGACATCCTCCGTCGATGCGCGAAAGTAATTCCGAAAATACGGTGATGCGACGCGATGATCGTCGACAATTCAGATTACAACTGAAAGCTACGATTTCGATTTCGATTCATTCCGCGTTCTTAGAGTTCGTTTGAAAGAGACGCTACTTTCTACATTTCACGCCGGGAGCTAAAAAAAACCTCGACCCGACATGGGAATTCACTTACGGTTCACAGGCCGCGCACAAAGGACACGGCGGATCCTGTTGATCTTCGTGCTTCGTTTTCTGTTCCAGGCAGTCCGCGTGGTACATATGACCACAGAATAAAACCGCGACCACCGAGAGTTGTGCCGACGAAATGGTGTTCTCGACGACGCAGGGGGTATTCCTCAACCGCTTTTGACATATCGAGCATTCCATCTTCCTCGCCTCTTCGTATAACGCATCATCTACAAGCGGACTAGCTCGTACTCTCTCGGGTTTTTGGAATATGCGACTTCGGTTATCTGCAATCGACACGTGTTTCTTTGCAGATCCAACCGTGTTTGTACGAATAAAAATGGAAAATGGAGAACGGTAGGTACCTCGATGATGATAGGGGACGTTCGAAAAGTCTTTAGTTGTGAGTTTGAAGGATAGGTTAGGATCGTAAATGGGCGAATTCTTCGAATGGGACGGCGATGCTTCGAAATGGTTACGTCTAGAGTAATGGTGGCCAAAGGGATGCTTCGAATGCTTCAACAATGGCGCGCGGCTGTTGGCGCCGTGATTCTGAATTAGATGCGACTGGTGACCAGATGGTCTTTTATGAGAAGTGCTTAAAACATCCATAGTCGCAGCCCGGGGCTGTTCTGCGCTGCCTTCGGCTTGATCAGAAATCCTCTGCGGAATAATGTATCGACAGTAAATATGAATATCGAAACATAGACAGACATATATCGAAAGATATCAAATTCGCGCACGCGTAAATGTATAACGAACCAGTTCTGAGTGCAGTTCCTTCTGAGGAGCTTGTGGTACGAAATCTGAAAGGATCATGAAATAAAAATCCATGAATCAATCGAATAATATATGCGAAAACATCAAGAAAGGCACATTCGAAGAAATCAAACAACAAGAACATTTCGAAAAAAAAAGCAAAACTTCAAATATGTATATATACATACATTTATTTCGCTAGGAAGCATAAAAGATCGATCATAATTCTAAAGAAACTTCGCTAAACGATCGCTTGCACATTATCATTATAAAGATTTAATCTCCCGTTTACAATAACCACCGACGAAACCTTAACTAAAGTTAATCAAATCACCACTTCATCCTACATTATATTCGATACAACTCCTTCGGCATCCAAAATGTATATATATGGAGATAAAAATGATCAAAGAACTCGACTTTCTTGTCGCAATCGACTTCCTCTACTAGCAATTGCTTCAAAAACAAGCTCATTGATAAACCTTGAACGATCAACAAACGATCGGAGGTTCTAAATAACTCCTCTCGCCATTTGTACACATTACAAGTCGTCGATAGAAGGTCTAATGTGACTCGAAACATCGATCTGAATACCGTAACATCCCAAACATTATTTGCTTATGTTTTCAAATCATTTTGAACACTATTCATCAATAGTATCTTTCGGAAAAAAAAACACATCAAAAATACTACTAAATTAGAAAAATAGTTTTCTAACTTTAATTTATATCAAATCAAATACTTATATATTTTATGAACTTTTCATTATTCTTAAAAAGATTAAGATCGAAACCTGCAAAATGTTAGTTCAAACATACTTTACCTTGTAAAGAAGATCATCATCCATAGCATTCATCAAAACCTAACATTATAAATTATACAGATTGTACATTGCGGGAATGGAGCAGAATTCGAAACCAAATCAAGAAGGATCGTCCAATCAAACAAAACAAAGCTAAAACGAAACCTAAATTGATCATCCGAATTCGAACAACAAGGAGATAAATTACAAATTCGTAGAAATGTGAGCGAAATTAAACGAATTACCTGAACGCGGTGGGGGTGCTCTCTTGCCATTTCCCCTTCTCTTTCTTTTCCCCATTTTAGAATATATGTATATATATAATTGTATTGGTGGATTAGAGAAATCGCAAAGAAATTGAGGAGGTTTAAGACGATTGGTAATTAAGGAGATACGAAGGGTGAAGCGAGGAATGAGGATAGAGCGGGCGAGAAGAGAGGGGGATTTTGCAACCAAGAAAATCTAGCAAAGAGAGAGAAAGAATATGCGATTTGCAGATTAACAGAAGAGTAGAGCAAGAAGGAAGCAGCGGTGATGGAAAGAGAGGATTCAATTGAAAGGTAAATCTATGGCGGATTTGAATTTGAAAGCGGGTTTTAAACCATGGAAGGAAGAGTAGTGAAGGAGTGAGTTAATTATCGGACAGTTTTTATTTTCCATAGATAGGATGAATGGATGGATGGATGATGCCGATGACCTATGCTCGTGCCTTTCGATCAAATCATCAAAAAAAAACAAAAAATTATTATTTTGTATAGAAATATCATTGTAATAATATTATAATTACGGAAAAGTATATAAATATTTTTTCTTTATACTAAGTTTTTATATAACAATTTGTTGGTAAATATAAATAAATAATCAAGGAAATCGCTTGCTACACGAGACTCGAATTTGATTTCGTATTTATGTGATTTCTTTTTTTTTGAATTTCGTCGCATCTCAGATTTCAACAAATATATTTTCCAACAATCTTGAAGCGAATTCGAGTAGAATCTGAGATGGCTCGAAATTCCCTAAATCCGGACGGTCGTGGTGGAAGCGACATAAACCTGAATAAATAATATTCAAATTGACACAGTTGGGGAAGAGGACAAAGAGGTTAACTTCAGCGTTTCACACTCATGTTCTCTATATTCCATGACCTCAACCACCCGTCCAAACAATGAGAAAGCCTAGAGGGCTGCTGCCGAAAAAGCTGCGCCAACAGCGTATGAACAAGGTCTTCAAGGCCGCGATGGAGGGAGCGCAACCTGTTGTTGCCTCCTCCAGCTAGCCTATTGGCTGAAAAAAAAAAAAAGAAAAAAAAAAGATCTTGTTAATATCAGTGAAAGAACGTATTGTTGTTCCGCTTCGTCCGCAACATATGGCTGCAAGACCTGCGCAGTATCTTGTTGTATCTGCCAGACAACAACAAGATGACTTGGTATACAATTAATTGTTGTTGTGGATCATGTAACGCAGTCTGTCGCTGCAACTTTCAAGCAACCTGTTGCTGCGGCAACCGAAAAGCCAGAAAAATTCAATGGACAGGATATTAAAATATGGCAGCGGAATATGTTGTTTTATCTAACCACGCTGAATTAACATATTGGCTAATGGAGGTTGTACCTGTTGTGCCGGAACAACCTCGGAAGAACAAAAAAAAAAACAAAACACAAATTCTGAAAGTCATAAAACACTCAAATTTGATGTGCAAAAAATTATATATTGAATGGCTTAAGCGACTCCCTATACCAGTGTCTGCCAGTATGCATCAATGGCTAAGCAGTTGTGGGAGATGTTGGAGAAGAGGCGAAATAAATTCGTCACTCTTTTGAGTACATTCGAGAATGAGACAAACTTGTATCTGCCATTACCCTTTATTACGATAGTAAATCTGTTACCAACAGAGCAGAAAGTACAATATACAATTGAAAGAGTCGACACATTCGCCGTCGATACAATTCCATAAGATAACTGAACACAACTAAGGTTATTACGATAGACCATGTTGCGTCAAAAAATAATCTAGCGGATCCGCCAACTAAATAGTTAAACCGTGATGCAGTTTACAAACTGGAGCTCAAGCCTGCTAAGGAAAAAATTTTATAAAAGAAAACCCAACATAGAAAGATTGAAGATCAAAAACTAGGTTATATGGACAGGAGCACTAGGGTGGAAAGGAAGACAAAAAATAGGGGAACTCTCCTTGGTTTTGGTGTGTTGAAAGAATGGGGTGGAAAGGACATTACAGACACCTCCATCATCTTTGGGAGTAAAATTTTTTCGAATAGAAACCTCCTGACAATAAATTTCAGAGTTAAAACAGTCATAATCGACATGATAAAATTCCAGTAACATCCGGCCATAAGCATAAAATTTAATTTCGATCATAAATATTTTATTTAAAATCTTAAATTTGAAGTAATCGTTTATTATATATGCATATAATTATAATTTTTGGGGTATATTTTTTATATACAAAAATATATTTTCTTGGATTTTAATAAAATATTTTGTTGTTTACATTTGGTTCCGGAGAATAAAAGACTTCGTCAAGTCTAGTATTCACCAAAATCAAGTCTAAACCCATTACCACGACCAAAAACTTTGAACCAGAGACAAAACTCATTGCTCGTATATTTGTGTCATTATTTGGTCCACGACAGATGGCAGCGCGCTTCTAGCTTATCAATATTAATACGCGTAAACTACTGTATTTCAACTTACCGAATAATTTATTTCGAAATTATAATTTTAATTTAAACTTAAATTTATTGATTAAATAATTAACTGATTTTCCAACCAAGAAAAACAGTCTTAGAGGTGTTTGGTAAACAGCTTGAGAGTGTTTGGTAAATTAGCGTTTTCAATTAGCTTATTGGGTTCAACAAGCTAATTTTGAAAAAACTCTATATACCAACCTTTCAGATTAGTTTTTCATTTTAATTTTTCTTATTCTTAGTTTGAAAAAATTCAACTAAATATTTTGAAAATAAAATATAAAATGTCCTTAATTGTCATTATACGTATAAACAATTAATATCAAATCATTATTTTACCAAACACTTTAATAAAAACAGCTAATCGAATCAATAAGTCAAATCCACTAATTGAATCAGCTAACAAACAACTCGAATCAACTAACAGTTGACAGCTATCAACTAATTGTCAAATACACCCTTAATCTTATAAAAGAAAAAAAAAAAACATAGCATAGGAACTTGTCCAAGCATTATTAGAGCAATCACAGTTGTTACTCTTCAAAGAGCTTCTAAATCCTCTTTAAATTTGATGCGTCAAAGTGCTGAAAATTGACATCCATTAAAATAATAAATTTCTATCCAATGGCTTTGTGGAAATAAAAAATAAAAAAAATAAAAAAGTAAAACAAAATGTGAGAGAAAATGAAAGAGAAAAAAAAAGAAAAAGAGAGAAAAATAAAATAAGAAAGAGAAAAGAAAGAGAACATATAGAAGAGAAGAAGAAGAGAGAAAACAAAAATAAATATAAAAAAAATGTAAAAGAGAGGAGTGAGTGTGTTTATTTGTCAGATTTGTTTTTCTGTTTTACTGTTTTATTTTATTTTTTTTTTTCAAAAATATCAAATCAAACATTCATTTTTATGTACACTAAAATTAAATTTTAGGTTCAAAACATCACATCAATATATATTTATATCATATCAAATTACTATTTTAATTCAAAATTTTACTGTTGAAAACCAAAACCAAAAATCAAAATGTGACTATAACACACCTATAAAAGTATTCTTCGTTGGCTTCCTCACCAAGCCATGTTTATGTTTAAGATCTTTGTTTTTTTATTTCCTCATTTTTGAATGCAATTGTATTAAAGATTATACACAGTATTCTAAATTGTGTTAAATCAATTTTTGAATGCACTATTTGAAATTATGACATATACTCTTAGTTATACGTTGTTTTTATATTTTTCAATATTATTACATATTGTCTTATATTATGTGAGACATATTTTTTAAAGTAATTATTCAAATTTAAATATATTTAATCAAAATTCAATATCTTAAACAAACACCCCATCCAAACATTTACGAAAATGACAATTAATTAATTATTTTTTATCTCAAAAAAAAAAAAAAAAAAAAAAAAAAAAAAACTATCCCGACAATAGGGCCCTGGCCGCAAATCAATGGCCGGTTGTAATAGCATACAGACACCTTCCCCACCCCTCCCATTTTAGTCCAACCTCCAAATTCCATCCAACGGCTCGCCGTCTTCCCCAACCAAATATTCCCAATGGATTCCCAAATCCCAACTGGCATCCTCACCTTTATAACAACGGTAATAAATAAATACGACCGATTCGCCAGCTACACCCATACTTGCATTGCTTTTCCTCCTCGTCGGGATCGGATCCATCCGCCGGAGCGATCGAATCCCCTGGGAAACTTCCTTTCCCAGAGGATTCTTGTTCGTCGCTTTCAATAAGGTTCGTGCAACAATAATGTGTTTGTTATTTTTTTCGTATCTATGGATTTGATTGCCTTCCTTCATGTATTTTCAATCGTTCGCTTCACGTTTTCGTTCATCTTTTGGGGCAATTGTTTAATTTCTTGAAGATTTGTGAATCCCTAATTTCTGGTGTTGTCTTGATTGAGATTGTATTTGTAATTGTCTGTTGAAAAAGTCTCCTGTTTTATCTTAGCTTTAAGGATCTATCTGTTGTTGCTTTTACTTGGGAACATGTTTTGTGCCTTCTAAGTGTTCGACGAAATTCCGCAGTTGCAGCAGGGCGGGATCAGAGTTGGTTCGTCGAGATGGAGACGGCGAAGAAGGTGGAGTCTCCGAAGCCTTCTTTGAATAATGTGATTGAGAAAGTTGGGGCGTACGGATTCGGGGGTGGGAGCAGCCACAAGAGGTGCAAATACGCCATTGAAGATGAGGAAGAAGATGGGAACATGGAGATGGTGCAGATTGGTGCACAGAGGACGAAGACAGTCTTGATATTGATGAGCGATACCGGCGGCGGCCACCGTGCGTCTGCCGAGGCTATCCGCGACGCTTTCCGCATTGAATTCGGTGATCAATATAGGGTAAGGTTGCTTCTGCTTATGCCTTGTTGAATTAGACATATGGTTGTGTAAGGAATTATGTTTTTGCTTGTGTTTAATTCTTGCAGCCGACGTATCCTTGTGTTCGTGTTTTATGATCGAATCTATTGAACTAGCTTAAACTTTTAAACGAGATGATCATTTAATGTGGTATCAGAGTCGAAAGTCCATGATCGAGTCACACCGGCCTTTTTCCTGCTAGTATAGGCGGGCGAATCCTCGTGTTTGCGAATTTGTTGGATTAATTTAAACTTTTATATGAGACGATCATTTAATTTGGTATCAAAGCAAAAAGTTGCTTTCGAGTCCCACAGCCCTATTTCCTACTAGTATAGGCTGGTGAATCCCTGTGTTTATGAATCTGTTAGATTGATTTAAAATTTTATGTGAGATATCATTTAATATAGTATTAGAGCAGGAAGTTTGCTTTCAAGTCCCACCGCCCTTTTTCCTACTAGTATAGAGGGTCGAAGCTTCGTGTTTGTGAATTTGTTGGATTAATTTAAATTTTTATGTGAATAATCATTTAATATGGTATCATAACAGGAAGTCTGCATTCGAGTCCCACCGCCCTTTTTCCTACTAGTATAGGCGGGTAAATTCTCGTGTTTGTGAATCTGTTGGATTAATTTAAATTTTTATGTGAGATGATCATTTAATATGGTATCAGAGCAGAAAATTTGCATTCGAGTCCCACCGTCTTTTTTCCTACTAGTATAGGCGGGTGAATCCTCGTGTTTATGAATCTATTGGATTAATTTTAACTTAGGTGATCATGTAATACGGTATCAGAGCATGAAGTTTGCTTTCGAGTCCCAACGCCCTTTTCCTACTACTATAGGCGGGCGTATCCTCGTGTTCGTGTTTTACGATTGAATTTGTTGAAATAACTTAAATTTTTACTTGAGATGGTCATTTAACATGATATTTGAGCGAAAAGTTTGTGTTTGAGTTCCACCCCTCTTATTCTACTAACTTAAAATTTTAGATGAAATAGTCAATTTAATAGAATGATGACTGGTTTTGTGTGGATTTGTTTTTTTAACAGATTTTGTTTAAGGATGTATGGAAGGAGTACACGGGATGGCCGTTGAACGATATGGAAGGACAATACAAGTTCATGGTGAAGCACGTCCAGCTTTGGCGATTTGCGTTTCACGGCACTTCTCCTCGGTGGATACACTCGCTCTATTTTGCTGCCATTGCCGCCTTCTACGCCAAGTTCGTCCTGGCCTGTGTTATATTACCAACCGATCATTCTCCTGCAACCTAGGATTCAGTCTCGACTTTTTCTCTGTGTGTGTATATTTTCTCATTACAGGGAGGTCGAGGCGGGTCTCATGGAGTACAAACCCGACATCATCATCAGCGTCCATCCCCTCATGCAGCATATTCCTCTGTGGGTGCTGAAATGGCAAGGGCTCGAGAAGAAAGTCGTGTTTGTCACTGTCATTACGGACCTCAACACTTGTCACCCGACGTGGTAATAATTATAATCATCCTAGGAAAAAGAACACTTCTGATATTGGACATATGATGACGATGGACTAATTGTGGATCGTACGCTTGTTGTCAAGGTTTCATCCATCTGTAAACCGGCTGTACTGCCCCTCACAAGAGGTAGCGAAGAGGGCTTTGCAAGACGGCCTTGAAGAATCTCAAATTCGTGTTTTTGGCTTGCCTATCCGACCTTCCTTTTGCCGAGCAGTTCTTAACAAGGTTCGCGCATGTTAATCCTTTTTGTTATAATTTTCTTTATAAGCATTCAAGAGTTTCTATCTGGAATAGTTCAAATTTGTTAGAAAAGCGCGACCTACATCGGACAATATGTTCTAATTAGACAACGGTGTTTGAAAATATGAATCAATGCCAAATTAAGGATCGATTACTTGTCTTTATAATGTGTATACATGTATGTATATGTATATATATAGGCATCGTTAAGGGCTGAATTCGAGATGGATCCGGAATTGCCGGCCGTGCTGCTAATGGGAGGCGGAGAGGGAATGGGCCCTGTGGAGGAAACCGCAAAGGCGCTCGGAGAGTCATTGTACAACAAAGAGCTCGATAAGCCAATAGGACAACTTGTCGTCATCTGTGGTCGTAATAAAAAGTTAGCTGCGAAATTAGAATCCCGGGACTGGAAAATCCCCCTCAAGGTCTGCAAAACAATCTTTTTCGATAGATCTCTCTCATGGCAGAAAAAAACTTGACTGTTATCTTTCATCGTCGGCTATTGTATACAGATAAGAGGATTCGAGAAGCAAATGGAGAAATGGATGGGAGCCTGCGATTGCATCATTACAAAAGTATGTTCTAATTTTTTTGTCGAAAATCTTATCTCGACTAGTAATGATGCTGATTAACCTCAGTCATCACATTGCAATGATATGGACAACACATAGTTGTTGTTGAAACAACATGTCTTGATATGTACAAATACAATGAACTAACAGTACATGATGTAGTCTCACATAGCACATGCAACAGTTGGTTTTAACGCATGAATGAATAACCAACACAGATATTTATTACCCACAGCCCATGTTGTAATACAGATTTTGTTTCTATATTTTAAGCCCCTGCTGATTTTTTCAAATCCGTCCGACTATTTTTATGTGATGTCCGTATATATGTGTTATGTATTGTCAGTAGGATGCTGAATAATAACAATCATATCTCGTCATGAGTGTAAGAATATTCTTTAAGAATGCTCGAACCGGAAAATGACGTAAGATTCTTGGTTTGTGACAGGCTGGACCGGGGACAATCGCCGAGGCATTGATACGGGGCCTCCCGATCATCCTCAACGACTACATCCCGGGGCAAGAAAAAGGGAACGTGCCGTACGTGATCGACAACGGGGCCGGCGTGTTCACCCGGAGTCCCAAGGAGACAGCTTCGATCGTAGCCAGTTGGTTCAACATCGACACCGACGAACGCAAGAGGATGTCTGAAAATGCCCGGAAGCTCTCGCAGCCGGAAGCTGTGTTCGACATTGTCAGAGACATTCACGAGCTGTCGCGCCAGCGCGGATTTTTGCCCAACATTCCTTACATGATGACTTCGTCGTTCGCCAGCTTGATATGATTGTCCCAATTTCCGGCCAGACTTTGTCGAGCTCGTTAGCTTGATCTGATTGAGACGTTGAGTTTCTCGCCCTACGGCGAGACTCGGACAGTCTCTGCCTCCGGTCGTGACAACGTAGTCCTTTTAAGGCAGGCCAGCATTCTTAAGGACAGTGTAAGTTTGGAAATATTTTTTGTTTTTTCGTTTTTTTTTTTTTTTTTTAAATTTGTGATCTTTAAAATATCCAAGATGAAAGATAAGGGATATGGAAGTATTTTATTTTTTATTTTTATTTTTTATTCTGTTGGTTTGTTTAGAGGTTAGGTTTTTAGAAGAAGCAGCAGCAGCAGCAATGGCTTATTTGTTTGTAGTCTGAATTTGGTTTTGATCTCTTTGTGAAACTGTTCACGTTGTACAGTGAATTCATTCTCTAATGGGATTATATTTTATTACGCAATATTATTGTTATAAACATACATTAATATAAAATATATATATGCTTAAAAAAGTTAATTATTCAATAAAAAAATATTATTTTTTATATTATCAATACAATTTTCGATATTACATACAAAAATCAATCTATCTGAAAGTTCGTGGGGGTTTATTGAAAGTATTATTTATTTATTTTAAAAATATATATTTTAAAACAATTTTATAAAAAATTTAAGTTTAAAACTATTTTTTTCATATTTTCTTTTTTATAAAAAATAAGACTGAATGCATTTTTTCTAGATGTACTTTACAAAAAATTAAGAAAAAGCTAAAATTGTTTTAAAATTCTTATAATCTAATTTAGAGGTTAGTTTTGGAAGAAACAATAGTTTATATTTATTCGGGATTTGAGTATTTGGTGATATTTATAGGTTTGATATTGTGTTAAACAGTAATTTAATTGTGTTTTCAGATAGTGTTTAATTTTGATATCCTTAATTTTCATTTATTTTTTTCTATAAATAAATAGAATATATATATATATATATATTTGGTAATATTAATTCGATGGAATCAAAAAACAAATTATTGAAATGATCCCATTCAGTCTTAAAATATTCAGTATCTAAGTAGTGAAATTTCTTTGGTATATTTGGTTTGTATTTTAAATATAAATCTGTTGATGTAATTTTTCAACAAAAATAAAGTAAAATTCAAAGATATAGAAAATATCCTTAAACTTGATTAATTAGTGCCTGAGATTAGGAATCTCTAAACACTGTATGGTACAGAAAATAAACTGGAAAATAAAATACTGAAATTTAAAGTGGTGATCCCCAAATCTGACTTTGCTTTGTTGAAATTGATTGAAGATGCCTTGCCAAATGATGATCCAAATCCTTAAATATTCTTTGAAGAAAACGTTCAGAACTGTCGCACTGTTTCACCAACCGTTACCACCAGTTACAGAACTCAGAACTGCCTCTTTCATTGACACATGTCTTTAACCGCCTCGCCAACCGCATAACCCAACGACCGACCAACCGACCAATCTAGATACATAATTGGTCGCCAGATCAAAAGACTCACTGGTCGCCCCATCAAACGACCACTATTTGGTCTCTTCAATCGTCTGACCTATCAACAGACCTTTCTTCGCCCGACTTCCTTTTTCGACCGACCCCCATAGCAGCCAACCTTTGTATCAACCGACCCATTTATCCGACTGCGGATAATCCGACCTGCTTGCCCGACCGCGGACCATCTGACTTGCTTATCTGATTGAGAACCAACCGACTGAGAACCCACCGACTGACTCTGGATACCTTATTATTATTATTATTATTATTATTTTTTGTGCGTAACAACATGCCTCCTCCTCAAGACTCCTAAGCATCATTTCTTATGATGTTTTAGGAGTTAGTAGGTTAGCATCCGAGGCTACGTCAGCCTCAGATCCGACCTCCATCCTTTGAGGCTACGTTGGACCCGACCTCCATTTATCGCGGACTGGTGCTGGCCTGGACGTTGGTCGATCTTGCACTACCATTGTATTCAGACTCCCGTCCGACTTATTCCTCCTTTCGGCCACTGTTGTTCTGTCATTCTTTTGCTTGCCTGAAAAGTTATGGTCGGCGACCTGACCCGTGTCCGTCCATTCGGCGGGGTCCTCCTGACCTGTATCCGTCCATTCGGCGGGGTCCTCCTGACCTGTATCCGTCCATTCGGCGGGGTCCTCCTGACCTGTATCCGTCCATTCGGCGGGGTCCTCCTGACCTGTATCCGTCCATTCGGCGGGGTCCCTGTATCCGTCCATTCGGCGGGGTCCTCCTGACCTGTATCCGTCCAGGTTACGTAGTCTTCTCGATTTTTGTCCGTCCAGTCGACGTGGTCTTCCCGATCTGTATTCGTCCAGTCGGCGTGGTCCTCCCGACCTTTGTCCATCCAGTCGATGTGGTTGTCCCGACTACGGTCCGTCCATTCGGTGTAGTCCTCCCGACCATGGTCCGTCCAGTCGGTGTGGTCTTCCCGACCATGGTCCGTCCAGGCGTCGTGATCCTGCCGACCTGTCTCCGTCCATTCGGTCGTCCCTGGTCGGGCCTGTCCTCCTGTTTGGTCCTGTCTCCAGTCTGTCTGACTGGGTATATGCTCAGGAATGGCGTTGTCCGTTTGGGGGCATGACATTTCTGGCGGTGCAGGAACCGAATTCAACATGAATTTTGATTGCTCCATCAAGTTTTGCATTGCGTCATGTATTGCCTGCAGATTTGCTATCTGCTGGTCGTACATTTGCCGAAAACCTGCTGTCAATTCGGCCCGTAGTTGGGAAGATTCTTCTGCCGTGATAAAGCCAACGGCTGTACTGTGGAATTGAAAATTTGCCATATGGATCAGCAATTTTCTCCCACTGTGGTCGCCAATTTGTTGATGTAATTTTTCAACAAAAATAAAGTAAAATTCAAAGATATAGAAAATATCCTTAAACTTGATTAATTAGTGCCTGAGATTAGGAATCTAACACTGTATGGTACAGAAAATAAACTGGAAAATAAAATACTGAAATTTAAAGTGGTGATCCCCAAATCTGACTTTGCTTTGTTGAAGTTGGTTGAAGATGCCTTGATCCAAATCCTTAAATATTTTTTGAAGAAAACGTTCAGAACTGTCGCACTGTTTCACCAACCGTTCCCACCAGTTACAGAACTCAGAACTGCCTCTTTCATTGACACATGTCTTTAACCGCCTCGCCAACCGCATAACCCAACGACCGACCAACCGACCAATCTAGATACATAATTGGTCGCCAGATCAAAAGACTCACTGGTCGCCCCATCAAACGACCACTATTTGGTCTCTTCAATCGTCTGACCTATCAACAGACCTTTCTTCGCCCGACTTCCTTTTTCGACCGACCCCCATAGCAGCCAACCTTTGTATCAACCGACCCATTTATCCGACTGCGGATAATCCGACCTGCTTGCCCGACCGCGGACCATCTGACTTGCTTATCTGATTGAGAACCAACCGACTGAGAACCCACCGACTGACTCTGGATACCTTATTATTATTATTATTATTATTATTATTATTATTTTTTGTGCGTAACAAAATCAATGTCATTTATTTTATATAACTTTTAATAAAAAAATTGTACTTTCTTCATTTAGTATATCTATATTTTTTTAATTAATTCATTATTTTATTATATTTTTCTAATAAATAATAATTAATTTGTTATTTTTATTAGAAAATGAAAAAGAAAGCAAATAAAGAACACAAATAGTTTTACGTGGTTCGGCGACGGTGTATCAACCTACGTTCACGGGCAGGAACCAGAGAAATTTTATTATACTGATTCAGAGATTTACAATTATATCATCCGACTAAGAACCATAGTTGTCGATTTATAAGCACCCAAAACACCCTAAACCCAAAGCCTATTTGTTATTATCGAGGATAAACCCAAAAGGAACCCTGTCAATTGAAACAACCCTTTCGCTTTGGTTTCGGATCGGGTAGACCGCTAAATCCAAGTTACGTTTCAACGGTGATTATTTTTTATTAATCTTTTCGACGACGGCTACTGTGGTGAACTTAAAAAATTCAGCACCATGCTGACAGCACACCACAAAACACAGTATGCAGTTAGACAACGCACGGTATTGTTACATGCAAGCACACCGTATGCATTCATATAATACAAATACAACACATAAACTAATAGTATATGTTATAGTCTTATACAATACAAACCATATTTGATTCCAAAACATCACGTACTATTATACAAAATATTTTTAATTATGAATCAACAACACAAATACAACACATAAACTGGTATAATCTTACACAACATAAATAATAGTTGATTTTAACGCACTATATATTGTTATACAACACATTTATAATACTTATAATTATGAACCAACAATACATATGTTATGTATAATAAAACTGTATGCTATTTGTATCTATTACGAGTGCTAATTAAAAAAAAATCAGCATGGCAATTCAGCACCGTAAACATTCCATATTATTTCAGTATAATTTTTAAATAAATTTATTATAATTTTTTATTTATTCTATTTTTACATTAAAGTATTATTATTATTTTTTAATCTTATTGTGTGAAATAAGTAGTCCAAATGAAAGAGATTATTATTATTATTTTTTTATATATATAAAATATTGTATTAAAATATTATTTTAAATAAAATTCAAGTTAAAACTTTGAATTTAAATTAAAATCAATTATATATTATGCCTTTAAATATAAAATTATTATTAGTATATAATTACAATATAAAAATAATTATGTATTCAAATTGAAAAAAAAAATCAAATTATAGATTATTATGTTATAGATAATTAAAATAAAAAAATAAAAAATATATAATTATGCCTTTAAGTATATGTTTTTAAAAAATATTTTTAAGTAAAAAGAAAACAGATACATTATGGACAAACTTAGATAATAAAATAATTTTTTTAAATTAAGGGTGTATTTGTTTGGAGGTTTGGATTTTTGGATTGAGATTTGAATAGTAAAAATTTTGAATTTGAATAGTTGTATGATGTGATATAAATAAATATTGATGTGATGTTTTGAATGTAAAATTGATTTTTAGTATAATATAAAAAATGAAAAATAGGTGTTTGATTTTATGTTTTTGGAAAAAAAATTGAATGAATAGTTAAATTTAAATCCAATCCTCCAAACAAACACACCCTAAAAAGTATTTTACAGTTTGAACTCGGTTTGGACTTGTCATTTGAACAGTAAAATTTAAAATTTGAATAATTTTATAAATTGATAAATAATTATTGATGTAATATTTTAAATATAAAATTAATTTTAATATAATATAAAAATAAAAATTTAAAATTAACTAATTAATTTGACATTTTTAAATTTTTTTTTTGATAAACTATAAAAATATAAAAAAAATTTCTAAATGAATACACTATTGATATGAAGAAATTATTATTATTTTGATTATTTTGATGCTGCTACCGTTGTTGTTGTTATTATTATTTTTTAATATAAGAATCTGCTGCGGCTATCTGAAAATATGTATTAAATAAATTTTTTGTCGAACCCATTATTATTATTATTATTTGCACAATAAAGTGTATAAGTATTTGATAAAAATAAATAAATAAATTATGTGAAAGAAAAATAGTGGAATAGAGAAAATATAATTTTATTAAAAATTGTATTAATTAAAGATTTTTAATTTTTAATTTAAAATAATAAAAGAATCGTACCGATAATAATAATAATTACTACTATTATCGTTATTATTATTATTATTATTATTATTATGAGCTATCAAACCCAATCCTCTCTAGTCTCTCCGAGAAAAAGAAAGAAGCCATTGTTCAACTTTTTCTCATTAGTCTCTGCTGCTGCAATAACTGAACCAAAAGTTGCAATGCTTGGGAAGACGACGATGATCCAGATTTTGCAGCTGGATGCAGCAACGCTTTGATGCTGTTCACGATGCCAAGCATACTCTGATGATCTTCATTCGCTTCATTTTTGATTCATTAAAACCAAGCAAGCACACTTGTTGATATAAGCAAATATTTGATCCTTCGAGAAGGCGTGCACAGATTTCAAATCTGTAGGGTTTTCTGAACTCGGATCTGATTCAGCACCTGTTCTTCATGTTTCTGTAGTTGATGCGGAGCTCGGATTCGCTCTTCTTCTGCTTTCGCGTATTGGAGGGCGTTTTGCACCCCAATGTCCTCGTCGGATCCCGAAATCTGGAACAATCTGGTGAAGATCAACTCACAGGAGGTCCAATCGGTCGCCGGATCGCCGAAATCGGTTTCCGATTTGAAGGATTGCGCGGCGGTGCCCAGGCAAAACCCTAATTACTCCTGCCGGCATTTGGCGGAGCTCCGGTCGCAGCTCGGTCCTTTCCCGTTCCGTAATCTTCGCGAGTGCATACGCGTGCGTCCCCTCGGCCGCGCCTCGATCCGCCGCGGGGACGCCGTACGGTGCGGCGCTTGCGGACGAGCCTCGCCGCGGATTTACGCCTGCGTCTCCTGCGCCGCCGCCGCCTGCCGCGACCACGCGCCGCTCCACGCGGCGAGGACCGCGCATCAAGTGGCGGTGGATGTGGATCGGGCTGAGCTATTCTGCTGCGCCTGCGGAGACCAGGTCTACGACCGCGATTTCGACTCCGCCGTCGCTACGGTTGCCGTCGGGAACGTGCCTGCCCTCCCCCCGCCGGAGAATCTACGGAAACGGCGGCGCGTGGATTACAAACCCTGGACTCCTGACGTCAGGGAGCAGGCGCTGATTGCGGAGAACTCCATCCCCTTGCCGCCGAGCCAATCCGGCGGCGAATCGGTGAGTCGACTCGGAGATGCCGCCGTTCCCATCCCATGGGGCTTGCGAGGGCTCAGCAACCTCGGCAACACCTGCTTCATGAACTCCGTCCTGCAGGCGATGCTCCACACTCCGCCATTGAGGAACTATTTCCTGAGCGATAAGCACAATCGATTCTATTGCGAGAGGGAGAATCGAACCATTGTTACAAGGAAGAGCGACGTCAGCAGCAAAGGCATTCAGGCGTGTCTCGCCTGTGATTTGGACGCCATTTTCTCCGCCGTATTTTCCGGCGATCCGAGGCCGTACAGTCCGGCAAAGTTCTTATACAGGTATACAATTTTGATCTGCTAAGAAAATGCAGCATTTGTTCAAGTATAGCCTGTAATTCTTTACCCTATTGTTGGTTTCCTTATACCGCGAAAACCTTATTCGTTATACCACATTTTTGTGATGCAGTTGGTGGCAGCACGCATCGAATCTGGCAAGCTACGAGCAGCAGGATGCGCACGAGTTTTTCATTTCTATGCTCGACGGCATTCATGAAAAAATGCAGAAAGACAGGCGTAAGCCCCTTAGCCAGGGTGAGTCCAAATGCTCCATTCTCATGCTTTTAATGATATCTAAAGGAAAGAATTCCAAAACTAGGTTTAGACATTCATGCAAAAAAATGATGATTTTGTTTTGGTACACGGCTTATCATGTGGTGCATTTTTTCTTTTGGACCCTTGTTCGAACATGTTGGTTGACTATATAATATCTAATAAAGGATGCGTATCTCTACAAGATGAAACTTTTATTGCAAGATAATCATTTGACATGGTATCAGAGAGGTTCGTGTGGCGTATATATGATGTATTGTAAAAAAAATTGTCTACGTACAAGGTTCGTTTGGCGGAAATTCACGTTGCACGTAAGGGAACATGTTGATTGACTAGATAATATGTAATAAATGATGCGTGTCCTTATATATTTGAGCGTTTAGTTAAAATGATCAGTTGACATAACATAATTGTTAGCATCGAATACTCGTAACGGGAATGTTGAGCTCAAATTCGAGGCTACCTTAAGTATGATCTGAGGTACCTACAGATTAGGAATTTGATCATACTGACATCTGTGTAGATACTAAGGAATTGCAATTAAGGAAGTAAAGTGAACGTTAAATGGCTGCTGATGGATTTTGTCGTATTTATTCTCGTTTTGTCTTTATTGCCTAACGTAAGGTTATTTTGATTATGCTTAGGCCGTGTAAATTACTTCGAACTGTATGCGGTCCCGTAATGAATGAATTCGGAATATTTCTCACGAGTTTTGACATTGCCGTGTCTGTCAGCTTCCTACTTTCTCATCTCATCTGATCTAGGCAAACCCGAACATCGTTAACTGATGATGAAGTAACGGCATTTCTAAATGCAGGACTTTTGGTTTAGGTTTTTCCGATTGACTTAGGCATTGATATCGGCAAGTGCAATCAGATTTAGGACCTAATTCGAACTGCGAGCTTGCCATCTACTTCGCAACTGTAAGTCCCGTTTTTTCTCGTACCACCTCGTAGGGGTTCTTGAGCCACCCTGTTTCATTTGCCATTTTCACCCAACTTAATCGAGCTCGATTAATGTCCGAGATCCGATTAGGGTGTGTTAGTATTCTTGGTAGTGTCTCATCTTTAGGATAGCGCTACTGTGCAGCCCTCATCAGTTTCGACTTCCTACTGTGTCTTAATATTAGTTATTTTCTCGATGATTCGTTATTTAAATTGAATCAAGGTGTTCTTACATGTTTTTCGTGCAAATGAGACATAAACTAATTGCCAACTTTTTTGCGCAGGCAGCGGAGATTGTTGCGTCGCTCACTGCGTATTCTCCGGGATCTTGAGATCCGACGTCATGTGCACATCTTGCGGTTTCACATCAACGACCTATGATCCGTGCGTCGATATCTCGTTAGACTTGGAACCAAATCATGTTGGCTCTTCAAAGACAGTCTCTACAAAATCCACTTACGCCATCAAACCCAAAGCGGCAAACTCGAGCCAAAACCCGGGCATTTCTACCTTAATCGGATGTCTCGATCATTTCACAAGACCGGAAAGATTAGGACCCGACCAAAAATTCTTCTGCCAACAGTGTCAAGTGAGGCAGGAGTCCCTCAAACAAATGTCGATAAGAAAGCTTCCTCTGGTCTCCTGCTTCCACATCAAACGTTTCGAGCATTCCTCGGCCCGGAAAACGTCCAGGAAGATCGACCGGTATTTGCAGTTCCCTTTTTCTCTCGACATGTCACCTTATCTGTCGTCGTCGATTCTGAGAAGCAGGTATGGCAACAGAATCTTCCCATTCGACGGGGACAACATCGAGCAGGATGGTTGTAACGATTTCTCGGCGCAGTTTGAGCTGTTTGCAGTCATCAGTCACTCGGGCAAGCTCGATGCTGGCCATTACATTACGTATTTGAGGCTGAGCGATCAATGGTACAAGTGCGACGACGCTTGGATCACTCGGGTCAACGATGAAACGGTGAGAGCTGTGCAGGGATACATGTTGTTCTATGTGCAGAAAACGCTGCACTACCGGGGGAGCGATGGGAAATGATAATAAACCGATCGCCAACGGACCTCGATCGACCGGGCGAAGAATTTGCTTCTGGTGCAAGTAAGTTTGATGAAAAAAATGTTCTGGTTCTAATACAGTTGCCTCAAATTGTGAACTTGTGATTTGAAGAAATTTTGTGAAAAAACCCCAGATTTGGTAAATTACTTGAGTAAGAAGAAGAAAAATATATATGCAAATTCTTTCCTGTGAATGTTGTGCTGTTAGTTATCATATGAGACACTATTTATGTACTGTTCCGGGAGTATTCATGTGCATACTTATTTGTCGGGTTGCCCCTCTAAACGGGAAGCAGTTATAGATGCTGTAACGAAACTTTGTAAATAGAGATAGCTACCGAAAAACATGAAGATTGTAAAACACATATTTATAGATATAGATATCGAACTTGAGCTAAAATACACTGATGTATATCTGATCGGGCGAGTCAAAAACCCAAAACTCGACTCGACTAACATTCAAGAATTTGAGAACACAATGTAAGTGGAGAGCATGAACAATGAAAACTCAAGAACTACACAAATCTTTCAGACAACATTCCAATTTACTTCACTAGATTCATGCTAAGGTTTTGTGTTCATTTAAATTAGTTCATCAGCCTTGGAGTTCCATTAACAAACTAACTAAAAACATCCCACATTCAAACTCATTCCAAATTTACCAAAAGAAGGATTTATTTTGTACCTGGGGGTGGTAATTAGGCGCGGCCATATCCCGAGCAGTTAAGACAGCGCTGAACCCTACGGAGATAAAATTAGACAGAAGAACAACGCGACCAAGTATGAAAAAATAAAATTGCTTACTTGAATCCATCACAAGTCGGGCACACACATGGATTTATAACAATGGGGTCGTAGAGCGGAGACCATTGTATCGTGCCATTCCCTTTGCATAACTTGCACTTATAATGTCCGGTGGCTTTACATTTCTCACATGGCCTTCCATACTTTTTCTGCAAAACTACATTGTATGAGACATGTAGATAACCAAACGGGATTTTGTTTTGGCGAACTAAAATAATGAGCATTGATAGAACAGTATATATCTATGTCTATCGAAGAAGATGCAATGCCTGTGTAAGCAACCTTTTTAAATGAAGTGTATCTTTCAGAAACTGTAGAGGTCAAGAATCCAAGGGCAAAGCTTCCACTAAGAAATGTAGCTCCTATCGTAGCCACCATCCGAAATCCTTTGGAAATGTCACCACGCGACATCTAAAATATACTGCAGAAGACTGAACAATCCAAAATGCAAAATCACTCAGTTCATGCATACTTACAATCAGAAATAGGAGTGATCACAAAACAAGGGAGGCGAAGCAAAGAAGAAAATTAGCACTCAATGCAACATATATATGAAACATAAAACACATTATCGGATTTGCTGATCAAATTTGAGACAGATAACAAGATAATAATGCTGTAGATGGCTATGATTATGAAGAGCCACAAACAAGACACAAGGAAATAACCATGGCAGACACTAGACTTGCCCATTCGGTTTCGAACTGACGGTTTATGAACCGGCCGTTACGGTTCGAATCGAAACCGGATGCAAACCGAATCGAAACCGTAGTTCCGACGGTTCGGTTTCAGTTTGTAGTTTCTCCAACCGTGAACCGTCGGTTCAAACCGCCGGTTCAAACCTTTGTGCAAGAGCAGAGCAGGCAGGAGAAGAAGAAGCGAAGAAGAAGAATTGTTGAAGAAGAAGAAGAAAGAGGAAGAAGAAGAAGAATCAGAAGAAAGGAAAGAATTGGTGAAGAAAAGAAGAAAGAGGAAGAACCTGATGGCTGCCTTGGCTAGTGCGGCTGCGGCCGGTGTGGCGTGGGTGTGTAAAATAATTTATTAGGTCTTAGGGCATTAGGATTTTGGACAAATTTGTATACTTTAAAATTATAATAATATGTTTAACTTAAATTTTTTATATATTATCAATTTTTTATTAAATAAAAAATTATTAATAATATTAAAAAATACTAATACTAATGCTATAATATTATTTTTTATTTATATTTTGTAATTTTTAATTATATTATTAATATATAAATATTTTTTTAATTTATAATTTAATTTAATTGCTTATTAAATTTATTATTTAAATTATTTTTACATTATAATAATCTAATTAATTATTATTTATACAATGAATATATAATAAATAAATTTAAATAAAATAAAAATAAAAAATAATTATTTTTAAATAAAATTAAAATTTTTAAATATTAGAAAATAAAAGAAATATATTAAAAATAAATACATATAAACCTACGGATCAACCTGTCATCCGCGACTTATAAGTAGATTTCCAATAATAATCGAAACCATCGAACCGCGGCTGTTTGGACCGTGCTTCTCAAAGATCATAACACATCTAAGCATAAGATCCAAAAAAAACATACCAGAAATACATGCTTCCTGAAACTGTCGTATATCAATTTACATTTTACTTGCGAAGACATTGAATTCAGATTCACAGACACACACAATTACATAAACTCATGTTCTAATCTTAGTATATTAGTTACCTTAATTCCAAAATCGGTAAATTCAGCGACCGCGACAAAGCAGCTCACTTGAAAGTGCAGAATTTCTTCTCTTCTTCAGCCGACGATGTTTCTGTGCTACCGCCGGCCACTACTAGATCCAACGTTGCTCTGTCCGCCGCCGCTCGGGTCACTGCTGAGGACTGCCTGAGACGTCCGGTCTTGATTCCGTCTCCGTTTCCTATCGCCGGAAAACAACAACACGCCGCCGCCGCGGGTATTCGGAGAAGAGAGATCCAGCCAATTACCGACTGCGAATTTCTATTCCAAAACCAGATTTCATGACAAAAAAAACAGGATCTTGTTAAACCCGGTCCGAACTGCCGGTTTAAATTTAGAAGTCTGTGCCGGGTCCTACTCTATCCTGCGCTGTCAATCACTGAACTTCGCTATCTTGCGCAGATATGTGTAGATATCGCTGCCTCGCAGGTCGTAGCTCAGCTGATGTATATGTCTCCCATCTTCCTTCAAAGGAAGCGTTGATTGGATTGCACTTTAAGCCTTTTAAGGTATGATCGTTCAACTATTCTCTTTGCTTGTATCTGTATTCTTCATGTGTGTGTTTTGTGCGTCTGGATCTGGACGGTGTATATGCATGGGTATCTGTTGAGGCTTGGGATTTTAGTGATTTTGTGTACTTGCTAGGAGGAGAATGCTTTTTGTGTCTTGTTGATTGAAGTAGATCTGTATTTTGGGAGCTTTCGGTTTCGTAGTGTCGTTTTCTAGGTGCATTCGAGATTCGAAGTTGATTATGCGATTTATCATATGATATATAATCACATTGGCCATAAAAAAATTAGGTAAATTTGATCAAACCATCTCTGGATGCCATAGGAAGGAAGCAGGCTATTTGGTGCATAGACTGCCATTAAGGCAAGTATTAACAAGGCCGGCAGTGTAATTGAAGAAGTAAGGAGGCTAAATTTTTGTTAAGATCATGCTTAATGATTGATGATTTTTCTTCATTGTTATTCCTGTGTAAACTATCATGTTTTTTTTATCGACCTATCTACTATAGTCTTTGGATGCTATTGATTTTGTTAGGATCTTGCCAGGAAGCTAAGGAAACAGCTCAATGTTGGCTCCGTTGCTGCTTTTGTCGTCTATTATTTTAGCATGTGCAAGCAATGGAAGTGCTGGTGTGACTAGCTCATTTATTCGCCATGAGTGGCCATCTATCGATATTCCTCTAGACAATGAAGCTTTTGCCGTTCCTAAAGGCTACAATGCCCCACAACAAGTAAGCTTCGTGATTCCAGTAGTCTCACAATCAGGCTTATGAAAGAGGGACGAATTCTGTTATGTGATTGAACGTGGGAGGGATTCTCTTTTGTGTTTGAAAAAGATGCCCCAGTTTTAGGTTTTGGACCTTCTGCTTTGCAGGGTATAAAAAATTGTATAATGATCATATAATATAACTCCTTTGTTTGAGATTATAGTATCTCTGCATGCTCTATCTATGCAACAATAATTGATTTGATTAAATTGGACCTCATTTAAGCTATATTGTCCTTCCAGGTTCACATTACGCAGGGAGATTATGACGGGAAGGCTGTTATAATCTCATGGGTAACAACTGAGCAACCAGGATCCAAGAAAGTTCAATATGGCTTATCGGAAGGAAAGTATGATTTTACAGCAGAAGGGACAGTGCAAAACTACACGTTTTACAACTATAAATCCGGATATATTCATCATTGTTTAGTTGATGGTCTTGAGGTAACATGGTTACTGTCTCGCATTGTTGGTTTGCATTGGCACTAATCTTTGTGATGTATATGAGCAAGTTGAAAATTTATGCGAGAAATTTAACACAGTGCAGTCATGTGTAGGTTAGACTTCCAATGATGTGAAGCTATTATAAGTTTTTCAACACTACAAATAAAATGCATAAACAATTTGCAATATTGAGTGCTCTCTGTAACTCATTGCCTTCCACTCTTCCCTAATTGGGATGGTTGATTGTTTTACAGTACAACACAAAATATTATTACTTGATTGGGGATGGAGATTCTTCCAGGAAGTTTTGGTTTCAAACACCTCCAGAAATCAATCCAGATGCTTCTTACAAATTTGGAATAATTGGTCAGTATTTTTAAGTATTTGCTTCAATAATATCTGATCTCATTCATTGTGGATAATATGTGGTCCTTAGGATTTATTCTATATATAATTCTCTAACCTAGCATATCAAAGCAGAAATTTATTTGCAAAATGCTAAACATGGCCTCAATATCTTTCATAGAGATTAGAAGTCTGGGATTTGTTTGGTTGGTGTTTTCAATTGTGAAAAGAGGTTGTATTTGGTGTGACTAATAATAAATTGTAATTATCATTTTGATTGACTGATTTATAGTATTTTCTTAATGTAATAATATATCATTATTGGGATATTTGACGGTTACTCAAATGAGAATGATTGAGTGCTGTAATGTTTAGATAGTATATATTTTTGTCTGTATATCCTATTGAACATGAGTGTGTGATTTTGTGTGTAGATATTATTTGAATATTGAGGCAATGATTGAATGGTGATACGGATTTCAGATTTTTGTTTGGAAGTAAGAAGATATATTATGTTTACAGTATTGTATATTTGGATTTTTTGTGTATGTTTTTCATGTGAGTTTTGTTAGTGAAAAAAAATATTACATATTTAGTCTCACTCTCACTCTCACAAGAAACTAAGAAAGATTTATTTGAATTTGGTCTCACAAGATCAATTATTTTAATACTAATTCCACTAGAACATATTTTTAAAATTTAATCCCACCACAACGATAAGAAGTTGGCCTAGAAGATTCCTACCCTACCCCTCTTACATTTTATTTTGGCATATAACATTATATGTTAAATACATTACCTTTGGTACACTGTATAGTAATACTCATTTTTATTTTAGATTATATTAGGAGTGAAGATGTTTTCTAAGTCCCAAAATACCTTTAAAATGTAGAAGATATGTTTCACTTGTTTCATATTACAAAATAGGTATAATCATTTCTAAATGTGTGTGTGTAAATTGGAGTAGTTAATAGACATTGTAATTCCTAGTACATAAGTGAAGTGAATCATTAAAAAGGTTCTATGCGATTCCATCTCCATCTAAAACAAATTTACATAAACAAATAAATAAAACGAATTATATACTTACTAACACTAAATCAAAGGATCTTGTAATGTAATAACACTAACAATTCATACTTGATCCAAAGAGTTTCTTGCTTGTTATTGCTATGCAGTTTAACATTATTGAATGTGTTCTTTGATTGTTCTGTAGGTGATCTTGGTCAAACCTATAATTCTCTGTCAACCCTTGATCATTATGAACAGACTGGTGCACAAACAGTCTTGTTTGTAGGAGATCTTTCATATGCTGATAGGTATGACAAGCATGATGTTGGTGTTCGCTGGGATTCTTGGGGTCGTTTTGTTGAGAAAATAACAGCTTATCAACCATGGATCTGGACAGTTGGAAATCATGAAATTGAGTACTTTCCACATCTGGTAATGAATAGATACAAAAGCCTCAACTTAATTATTATCATTTTTTTATTTTTTAGATTAACGAAAGTATATCCAGGATTTATGCTCAATGAACGGTCTTATATGATTTCATTTGTTCAACAGATTCTGTAAATGAGAAATAGATAGAATCAGTTCTCATTTCCTCGAATTTATAACAAGATTTTTAACAGCTTATCGAATTTTCTCAATATCCTTTTGACCTTTGATCATCTTTGTTCCTTGTGGGTGTTCAGCAAGAAGTCATACCTTTCAGAAATTATATCCACAGATATCCGACGCCTCATCTCGCTAGCGAAAGCAGTAGTCCATTATGGTATGCCGTGAGACGAGGATCTGCACATATCATCGTCTTGTCCAGCTACTCTCCATTTGGTAATTCGCCATTGCCACTTTTAGATGTTTTTCCTTGTATATTTATTTTCATAACATTGTCTTGTCACTTTTAAATGTTTAACTTCTGCTTAAATTGCTTGTGTTTTTAACATCCTGGCAGTAAAATACACTCCTCAGTACATTTGGCTTCAGCAAGAATTAAAAAAAGTCGACAGGGAAAAGACTCCCTGGCTTATTGTTCTGATGCACGCCCCAATTTACAACAGCAACGATGCTCATTACATGGAAGGCGAAAGCATGAGAGATGTATTTGAGAGCTGGTTTTGTGAATATAAAGTTGACGTTATCTTCGCCGGCCATGTCCACGCCTATGAAAGATCGGTTCGCCTTCTTACTACACCATTACAGAGCTAATGTTTATCAACTTCCAAGTATTTTCATTTCATATTAAATTGAAGTTGAAATCTTTCTCGTATCAGTACCGTGTCTCAAGACTGCCGGATTCCTCCAACCCTTTACCGAACAAATTAGCCCCTGTCTACATCACTGTCGGGGACGGAGGAAATCAGGAAGGTCTTGCTAAAAGGTGAGGGTTAATCATCATCATATCCACATAAGTTTTCGAATATCTTGTGTTACACATTAATCATCATATCCTATATTCTGTTGTTTTCGCAGGTTTAGGGACCCCCAACCGGATTATTCTGCTTTCCGTGAAGCCAGCTATGGCCATTCTACACTAGAGATAAAGAACAGAACTCATGCCTTCTACCATTGGAACCGGAATGATGATGGAAAGCGCGTCCAAACCGATTCATTCATCCTCCACAACCAATACTGGTTCGATTGCACTCATAAATCTTAATGCAATATTTCTTTTTTGAAAGGCAAAATTGCCCATAATTTCCTTGTGGTTTCGAAACTCAGCGTAAATCCCTCTTTACTTTAAAAATTGCGTGGCGCCCTTTATATTTTAAAAAACGTTATATGAAATCCCTCTGTGGTTTCAAAATTCAGTGTAAATCCCCACATTACTTTAAAAATCGCATAGCGCCTCCTTATACTTTCAAAAATATTGCATGAAACTCCTCCACCATGCAAAAAATATAAATAGAAGATTATCTTCTCATCACAAAAGGGAAGTTTCATGAGTTCATGCAACGTTCTTGAAAGTATAATGGGTGTCACATGCAATTTTGACAGTATAGAGAAATTTTACGCTGAATTTTAAAACTACAGGAGAGTTATGAGCAATTTTACATTTTTGAAATCATCTTAAGTTTCACTCACCTTCGAATTCAATAAAAGAATGTTAAAAAGGCGTGCAATGTCTATGAACATTATTTAACTGACATGTGTGTATACGGCAGGGGAAGCCATCATAGGAGGAGGAAACTGAAGAAGAAGCGTGTCCGGGCTTTCTCGACTGATATTAAAAGCCATCTTCGCTCGTCAAGAATCAATATGCGACGCCCTGTCGAGAGCTTCTGAGCTCGGCTTGCAAGCTGCTCTTGCTTGAAAAGGTGCATAGCTAGTTCATTTCTTGCGCCTCTGTGTGTGTATGTATATCATATTGTATCTGATTACATGTGTTTGTATTATATGTTGTAATAAAGATCGGTTCTCAGTGTCTCTCTTGACATAAGAGAGATTACTTACTGATCTAATTTGATTAAATTGGGTAAATGTGGTTAAGCCTTTACATTCTACCTTATATCTTTTGTATTGTCCTTTTCCATTTGTAAAAAGGTGCTAATTAGGATTGTTGATTAGTTCTAATCAACATACAGACTAGTATAGATATTTAATTTCAACATAAACTTATATGTTAGTACTAACTGCACGAGCAATTTTATGAAATATTAGAACACGAGTTAACCCTGGTCAACACTCTAATTATTCTAATATATATCTATATATACATAATTTAGTATTTTACACTTAATGAAAAAAATGGTATTTAGATAAACCGACCCATTAATGGTATTTAGAGCTGTTTACTCAACCCTAACCTGACCGATTTACTCAACTCCAACTCGACCGTTTATGATCGTGTCAGGACGTTTATTATCGTGTCGGGTTCGGATTGACTCGTGTTGATCCGTATACATAATTAAGTCGAATTTTTTATTCAAATTAAATAATTTTTTATTATGTTAGTTTTTATTAATTTGAGCATAAATTATTTAAAATTGAATTTAAATTAAATTAATTTATAAAAAAATTATTAAATTATAATTATTTTACATATACAATAAATATATTAATCAATATTAATGGGTTGTCGTATCGAGTTCGAGTTGAGAGCCTCAATCCTAACCCGACCTGTTTACTATTATATCGGATTCGAGTCAACCCGTATATATAATCGAGTTGAAATTTTTGATCCAAACATGACGATGCTAATGACTTCTGCAAAAAAATTAAGAATTGATACAAAACATACCCCTTTCCTTCCCAATGTATTTCCTCAAATATAAATATAACACCACAAAACTGATGGTACATAAGTATACAACAATGCCACAAACAAATATATATACATATATGTATATATAAATAGTCCAACAGTTGTACCTATGGCTAAACAAGGGAGGGCTGCATAAACTTCCCTCTAAATAATCTCCCAAGGAATTAGAATGGAATGAATATGCCCTTCTTCTAAGTCTCATAGTTCTTCAAGTGACTGAATATATTATTATTCACACAACCCAACATATATTTTACATATAAAAACACAACACTTTAGAGTCGAATATAAGATCCCGATTTTCGAATGTCCACCCTCTACAACATAACATAGTGGAAACACATGAGAATCGAATTAACCAACACTTGCCTGTGAATTGGATCAGGAGGAGTCGCGATAGATAGGTTGCGAAGTCCACTTTAGCTGCAGCTTGAGTGTTCCCTGTTCCGCACCGTCTAATGGGAATGTTTCGATATATTCACCTTCTAGTATAACCCTTGTCAGAGTCAATATACATCTTCCCATAAAATCCTGCACCAAAAACAATCATAAAGAGCTCGACTCAGATTGGAATCACAATAATTACAATAATCTCATCTAAAGACTGGGTAAATATTTCCTATTCAAGGATTTTTGCCACAAATTTTTACTCTAGAACACTACATCAACCATGGACCAAACTTCATAACACAGTAACAAATACTTGATCTGAATCGACTCCTTAGGTAGGTATTAATGTGATGCTTCGAATGTAAAATTGATTTTAGTATAGTATAAAAATAAAAAATAAATATTTGATTTGATATTTTTGAGAAAAAGAGTTTGACGAATAGTAAATTTTGGGAAAAATCCCCCAAACAAACACACCCTTAGAACATCCATCTAAAGCAGTTTCCTTTCTAAAACCAGTTTCCTTTCTAAAACCAGTTTCTTGTCCTATCTTCTGTCCGTATAATATATACACACATTAATCAGCAAAAGGCAAAACATGATTATTGGGATCGAAAAAGTAAAGTACCTTCCCAAATGTGTCATGGTCCCAAAGTTCAACGATCAGCATGTCATGCAGTCCATCCTCAACAACGAAATCAAAAGTTTGATTCCACACAGGGTTCAAACTATCATTCACAACCTAAGTAACAAAAATATCACCGTGCTCTGATTATCATTTCTTCACGTAGAACACATACTAAGAAAGCATAAAAAAATTACAGGAACAAAGAGCAACATACCCGGGTTTTATTTCTCGATTCAGTTTTCTTCATAGTGAGTACCACGTAAGGATCGGCCTTCCCCATAACATCAGCCGGCGCCAAGTCTTCAGCAGATATGACAGTAACAGACAGCACTCCTCTTACAATGACTTCTCTCCTTTTTTTCCCGTTGCCATTTTCAGCTAGTTCTTTTGCTTCGGCTCCACTTTTAAACACCTTCTCCAAGGAAGTCATTGCGTACTTCTGGGCAAACGGATTTGCAACCTCACTCTCCATGCCAATGGGGCAATAAAGAAGCTCCAAGTGCACCTAGAAATAAATGGACATGAAGTTTATAAATAAAAAGTTGTTGCTCTAAGCAATCGAATTCTAAATGTGATTAAAATATCATTTGAAACACCAAATCCATCCAAAGCACTAAAATTTGATCATGATAATGATATTTGAAGACAATAAAGCAACCAGAAAGGAAGAAAAAGTCAAATCTAATTCAATTAATAAGAGGTATTTTGTAGGTAAATTATTCTTTATTAGTTTCTTTTTTAATAAATTTTTATTAGTTACTAAATTATTTGCAATAGTTGCTTCTAAACACACGTACTATATTATATGTGGAAGCATGAAATTTTCTTCGGTACTAATAAATAGGTGAACCTGCACAAGAATAAGGATACTAACAAACTAACTTAAATTCGAAAAAAAATAAAATAAAATTGAAGGAATAATCTCACAAGAGGCAACAAAGATGTCATCAATAATATCTCAAGCCATCATAATTTTTCCTAGCAGAGTAATTTTCATAACTCATAACTAAAGCAAATAGATACTTTACCTGCCCCCTGTCTTTATTGTCTCGCTGAATCTCTAAATCTTTCACCAATTTTAACCACACATCCTTCACCTTTCCCGGCTGAAGCTCGGATATCTGAATGCGGGCACATCCTATTAGTTCAGAGGCCTGAATCCCTTCATCATCATAGATTTTAACCACCAAGTGTTGGGTTGAAGCATCCTCAATGACAAACTCAAAATGTTCATTCCAGATTGGATTCAACTCGTTGTTCTGCAAGGAAGATAATTCAATGAACACAAATATATCTCGAGGAGGAAGAACCAAGGAAGAAATAGAAACTGACAATTGTCCTGCTCTTCTTTGTTCGATCGCGCAAGGGCCGAACGTACAACACTGCGTAAGGATCAGATTTCCCAATAAGATCTTTATTGGTCAAATTTTTTGCTTGAATAAGCTTCACCTCCAAGGTTCCAACAGGCTTCAGTTCAAGATCACTAAATGAAAATACAATGAACAAACATACTGGGTCATCAGTTATTAACGATGCTGAAAAGTTAATTATTTGTGCCATTATATATGTATATTATATATAAAAATTAATCGAATAAGTCCCACATCTTTTTTGGTAAAGTACAGTTAATGTTTTCATTCTTGTGTACCTATAATTAACAAGAAAAATTTAGGCAAAAAAATGGTTTCTACAAATGTCACGTACCTATAATCTCCAGGCAGTATAGGAATAATTTTTCGAACCGGCCATGTTATTGAATCTTCAACGGCATCCCTAATAGTACTCTATAAAAGTAATGCATCAGTTAAATTCTAGAAAACCGAGGCATCATTATGACTTATATAACATTCTTGTTTTCCCTTCATATTTACTTTTTTTTTTCTTTTGGTTCAAAACAATGTAATTTATGCATTTAAAGTAAACTGACCTCAATGGCGTCAGAAAGACCAGGTATTGTTCCTATGTCTCCTCCAATAACTTTAAGTGTAAAATCCAGTTTTTTCTGAATGTTAAAACAAACATATATGATAATACTTTGATTGCAAAGAAGAAAACAAAATGCTGCTAATATATGTACAAACTAACAGGCATAACTATACAGATATGCAAACTGGCCAACAAAAATACCATACTTTTTGGCGTAGTGAATAAGAAACAGCTCCAAAGCAAGGCAACTCCTCAACTAAAGGTCTGAAAATCAGCCTGAAGACCCCAGTAAACCCAATATTTTTCACCTGCATTAAATAAAAAGCCTAAAGATAAACCCTGCAAAAAATTTGCAATTTAGATGAGTATGAAATAACAGTATTTACACATTTTGAAGGGCTGTAACTGGTGGCCCCCACGAAGAGGAGTGGGCAATGTTTCTTCATTAATTTTGAGGACTGTTAGTTCTATTGAAACCTTGATGCTTGCTAGCTCATTAAGTCTACTGACTTTCTAAGTTATTTTTACCTTGACATAATCAAGTAAATAACCGTAAACGGTAATTACAATCATTTTAGCAGTATATATAAATCAGGTTTGTCACTTTAAGTAACAGTTAGGTGTCATTTATGTGAAATTACTACCAAGAAGGTTTCCCAGCTATCTTCCACAATACTTAATTAACAAAACCTAATAAGCACCTTTCTATTTTTTTGTTTGTCACATTAAGTTTAGCATAGACAATCTATTATTAGCAATTTTTAGTCAATAATTAAGTCATAAATTTAACTATTGACTTCATGTATGCAAACCATGCATTTATTTTGCAAATGGAAAGAAATGGTAACACAATTTGACATCAATAATATGTGTATATATATTATATCCGTCCGGCTCTAATAGTCTCATTTACCTTTTGCGTCATTGTATTTAACATTAAAAATATTGTTATATTTGTATAATTTTTTGTACAAATGTCATAATAATAGAAGCTACAAATATAAATATTTTTGTCATTTTTCTTTGATTTGTACTGCGTTTTCATATAATAATTAATATTCAAAGATCAACATGCAAAAAGTAAATGGGACCTTAGAGCCGGACGGAGGTAGTATAATATTTCCTCCGTCCACTTGAGAGGTATCCATTCTGCTACTTCCTCCGTTCCACATAAAGTCTTCATTTTTCCTATTTCTATTTGTTCCACATAATTTTTTCTTTCATGTTTTGAAAATATGTTTAATCACATTACAGATTACAGCACCCTCATTTTACACTTATGTATATTGATACTATTACATTGAATTAAAACATAAGGGCAAAATAGTCTTCATAAAATTAAAATACAACTGCAAAATAGTACCAAAATACCTCCAACTAATGGGTGGAGAGTATTACTTTGTCCAAAGTAAACAAAAATTATTGAACAGAGGGAGCATTAAGTAATTAAGAATTCTGCAAATTTTGGGACTTATATTCCATCAAGGAAAAGACCTTTCTTATTTGGGCTATTTGTATTGCTTTGGATTTGATCTTTTAATGTCTTCCCATTCCCAAAAAAAATAATAAAAAAAATTCACATTTTCCAGTAAAAAAGTACACATTCTTCTAAAAAAAGCATCTAAAAGACAAAAACTAATTTACCCAAACATTGCAACTCATCATAACAATTCCGCAATTACCAGTAAATAATAACAGAAATCCTAAACACTAAAAGAACACAATTTGTTTTACTGATAAAAATTATATCAATATAATAACAGAACCACAATGACAAGCAATGATACCTAGAAGGCTCAGCAATGTACTTCCATTTTGATAATTCAATGGGAAAGGCAGGCAAGTCATGAGAATGCAATTGCTAAGTTCAGTCAAATTTGTTAAAGGGTTTAAGCCACTTCAAAACACCTTCACAAAAAGCACAGAACCTTCCAAAAATAATTCTCTTCACCCAGAGATACAAATATTCAAAACAATAAAAATAAAAATGAACATTATGAAATAACTTCATTATGATTCAAACACAAGCCTGCAAACACAAAACACATCTATATATATCCCTACCTTATAAAAATAATTATAATAATTATATCTCGAACATATTATGCCATGCAATCTTACATGAACATTACACAATTAATCGTATCAAATATACCGACAAAAAAATCTGCGAAATTAAAACCTTTTTAACATCACAAACATATTCTCCCTCCACCCAAAAGATATATATTTTTTCATTTTTCATCCGTCCAAATAGAAAATATGCATTTCTTTTTTTAGTAAGTTTGACTACACTACCATTATAAATCCCTCAAACTTACACTTATTTACATCAATAACATTACATCAAATTAAAATACAAAACAAAGTCTTTACACACAAAAAATACCATCAACCATCATTTAAATACTATTATTTCTTAATCTTTACAAAAAAAGCAAATGTATATCTGGTTAATGGACGGAGGAAGTACTATTTAGTTACAAACAAAGCAAGGGTATGATCACTTTTGAGGTTTTTTACATTTTTGTTACTACTGAATCTCACAATTCCCCTTCAAAAACATTACATCCAACACTCATTTAAAACAAACAGCACATCCAATAACTATTTCACGTCAAAAGGTTCAAAACACAAAACACAATATATATATATATATATATACCAAAAAGAACACACCCCATATATCACTGAGTAAAACATGTATAGGTTTTTACTTGAGACAAACACACAAGTAGTGTGGGGCATGAGGTGGGCATGAATAGAGTATTAATCATGTAATTTATAAACTTACCTGCACAGGTAGAGAGACACCAAGATAAGTCTTAATATCAAGTATTATACTAGGGTTGCCATCCCATTGCATCTCCAACTCCATGGTAACTCCTTCACTCCCATCTTCAATAATTGAAACCCCTGAAAAATTATTACTAGTAAGCACACCATCAATTCTTAGTGTATCATTTGCATCCCAATTAGATTTAGCTTCTCCCTCACAAACTATGATGAGATGCCACTAAAAATAAATTGAACCTCTTTCTTCTATGCCTTACAGTTACAGCTAAATCAGCATCAAATTTTCACATAGCTTGCAAGGCAACCATGACTCATTAGCACCGAGCACTCAAAAATGTTTGTAAGCAAATAAAGTAAAACATGACAAATGCATAAACATCATGAATCTTTCCGTGGTCCAGCTCATTGACAATGCAGTAAGAAATCTTAACACACTGAATTTACAAGTGCTTATTAACATCACTAATTACACTAGATCACTAGCACTAGTTAGGGGTCTGTTTGGTTGTGATTTCTAACCAAAATTACCAGTATACAGCCTGCACGATTCACAATAAAAATCTCCGTGTGAGTCAAAGGTACTCATTTGACTTTTGCATGCGGATTTAAATATTTTAGAATTTTATAGATATATGATGTAATAATAGTGGTGTAAAGTCTATTTTACTCTTGGCATTACTGGGATTAAAAGAATAAGAAAAACAAAACAAATGATATTTTGGTATTTAATTGAAAAGTATTTTTACTTTAAAAATAAAAATAAAAATAAAAATAAAACCGGATACCTTTGACTTGGAAGAAAAGGAAATGAAAAAATGGATACATTTAACTCGGTCGGAGGGAGTATTATTTATTTATTTTCACAAATTAGCACATCAAAATACTATTTACATCCAAACTACAAAAAAAATTATAAAAATAAAAAAACCAAACCAAACCAACCAACCCCTAGACAAGTTTTGAGACTATAAACAAAGTATATATCTATGCTTCAAACTAAGCAATCGAAACACCAGGTCATTAACTCACATAGAATTACACCCCCAAAGGATAAAAGTAAAACTTCCATAAAACATCATATATTTCTTTTACATCACATGTAAAAGTGAACATATTTCCAATTCATAATCCATAAAATCATCCCATAGGCGCTCAAACACACACACCCGCCACAAAGGCATCGATAACACCACTACTGCAGCTTGTATGTGTGCTAAACTAGATCAACAAGACAAGCAAATCCATAACCAAACCTGTAAACTGAGGAGCAACAGTCCCAAGCGTGAATTTCGAAAAGCTCAAAGAAGCCAACAGAACTGGCCTATACTGCTCCAAAACAGGCTCCACATTCGACTTTATCAGATCAGATGCAGCCTTCAAAGTTCAAACAACAAGAAAGAAATTTCCTAAACATCAAAACAACTCATCTTCAAGAACAACATAACTCAAATCTTCATCAAAAACACAATTCCTCTTGGCAAAACAATCATACCTCATTAACGTACGGCCAGATCTTCTCCAGCTGAACATTAAGCCAAGTCAACTGAAATTCAAAACCATAAAACAACATTAAGCCTCCTTAGAATATATCCACACGAATCGAAAACCCTAACCCTAACTAGCAGAACGACAAACCTTCTGGCGCTGCGAGAATACCACCCAGGACGGATAATACTCCGGCGACAGCAGTTTCCTCGAATCCTCCACCGTCATCCGAGCAAACGCCGCGACCGCCGCCGCCTTTCCAAATTCCAAATTCAGTCAAACAGCAACTCGACCAACACTTGGAGGAAAACAAAGAACACTTGAATTTCGAATATAGAAACAAACAAACAAACACTCACGAGGTCAGTCCGCCGCTTGGATCGGGAATTTTCGGAGCGGACGAAAACGACGATCAGAGCCAAACCGACGACCAATCCGATTACCAAACCAACCACAAAAGCCATCTGAAACTTGACTCTTCTTCAACTGTGGGGGTTTCGGAATTCCCGCTTTCTCGCGTCGCCTTGTCTGTAGAGATATGGCAATACAGTAGTACAGAAACGAACTAGGGGAGTCGATTTGAATGGCATATGTGGTTCGTTAATGGCGATTGGAGGCTACGGACAGTGAAGAATTCCGAACATCGATCCGAACGGACAAACGGGCCGGAGGAAACGGAAGCGACCGAGAAAATATTTATTTATTTATTTCTTGAAGCTTCTAATTATCCCTTTGGAAAATATGTCAAATTTAATTTATTTTTAATATACATTATTAAAAAGACAAAACAAAACACAAGTAAAAAACATAATGAAAAAAACAACGAAGAAGGTTTTTTCAATTTAATTTTTGAAATTAGACTTTTTTTTTAATGTTATTTTTAGAGTAATGAAAAGTAGTGTGATTTTTGTACTTCTTCGGTACCAATATAATTGTGTTGTTTATCATTTTTGTTCTTCTTGTCTCATTTTTATAAATAATTATATCACTATAAAATTATCTCTATTTTTTCATTACTATTATATAATTGTCACTATTTTTTACACTAATACGTTTGAATTGGGTGCTGATTAGAGCAAAAAATAATTAAATTAATATATTTTATAAAATATATAATTAATATAATTATAGATAATAAATTTTACCTAGTCAGCATGGGTGATCCAATTTAATACTCACAAGGCAAAAAGATTATTTATAAAAAAAATTTTACCAACCACCAATATAATATCAATATTTATTAAATTTTCGTATCCAAAAGACTAATTTTTGGGATGGAGGGAGTACGAAAGATTGCATAGTGGAAAATGCAATCAAAATTAAGAAAACATGATATTTGATTTTTATTCAATGATTCATTTGATGAGTCTCGTTTGGATTTTAAATTCAATTATTATTATTCACGGTAAATTTTTAAGTATATTACTTTTAAATAATATACTCTTTCCAGGAATATAATTATTTATTTTTTTACATATATTTTAAAATATTAATATTTTAATCTGAAATTATATCTATGTGAGATACAAGCAATTAATAGTAGTTCGTTCGACTTTAAGGGTTATATTTACTTTTTACTATTTATATTTGAATATTAATTATTATGAACAAAATATAAAAATATTTTAACTAGTATTTTATAATGCTAATATAATAATAACATTTATATAACAAAAAAAAATTATAAAGTATAAAAATATTTTTAATGTTAAATATAATGATGCAAAAAATAAATATAATTTTAGAGACAAACAAAAAAAAAATATTATATATTAGGTGAATGTGACCATATATTGCAGGTCTCCTTGATTTTGATTTAAAATAAAATAGATAATTTGAATTTTGATGTAAATACTCCCTCCGTCCCACATACCATGTCCACGTTGCCGTTTTTGTCCGTCTCGTATACCATGTCACTTTTTTTTTTGGAAAATGATTATACATTTTAACCTCATTTTAAATTTTTAAATTTTATTTTTTTTAAATTTTAATTAAACTAATTAGTTATCTTAATTTTAATTTATAATTATTTATATTATCAGATAATTATTTTCACTAATACATTCTTAATTATCTACTAATGTGTCTACGGTGTAGTCCGTCCCATATACCATGTCACTTTTTTTTGATTAAAATGTTTATACATTTTAAATTTTTAAATTTTTTTTTTTTTTAAATTTTAATTAAACTAATTAGTTATCTTAATTTTAATTTATAATTATTTATATTATCATATAATTATTTTCACTGATACGTTCTTAATTATCTACTAATGTGTCTACGGTGTAGCAACACGATATGTGGGACGGAGAGAGTAGTATTTTGATATAATTATATTTGTAAAAAATAAAATATTGTATTTTTTATTAAATCCCGCAAATACAGATAAATACGGTAAAAGAAAGAATTCGTTTGAAATAGAAAAAAAAAACACGCACACCCTTTTTTATGAAATTAATTGGAAATTATGTCGGCAAACAAATATTTGGGTGAATACAATCATACATTTTGAAAGAATTTGAAATTGATACTTGAATTAACTAGTAAATTTGGATACATGTCCGAATGAATTTTTTATTCAATTATGTAATTATTTATAAAATTCTTTTGAATTATAGAATATTATTTTATATAAAAATATTCTTTTTTTTTTTTTTTTTTGTCTGTATGTGTATGCCATACCCATTTATGTTTTCTGATGTCTTAGGATAAAACAGAGGCAAATGAGTCAGACAGTGCCCATGCCATTAAGCAGTTTCGAATTTCAACTATAATAATAACAATAAATTTAATGATAATGGCTCCAAGATTCAAAGGTGTAAAGATTGACTTGCCGACAATGCAGATGACAACGATGTATATCTCTACCCAATTACAATCCTCCACGTAGCATGTTACAATCAAATACTGTAATAGGTGAAAAAAAAAAAAAAAAAAAAAAACAAACAAACTGAACAGTCGCATCGGTAGTCGAATTGAATTTTCGATTTCGAATTTTTTATATTTTCTTTATTCGATTAATCGAATGAATATATATTTTTAATTTTGATTCGATTCGAATTATTTTAAAATATTACAGATATTTTTTATTAACCGAAATTTTCTATTCGAATACTATTTGCGATTTCAGTTATTTATTCAAATATATCAAATTATGTTTATTTGCAAATATCCAAACTACACCCACCCCCTAAGCAATAGTAGTAATAATCAATGTAGAATTTAAAATAGTAAACACGGCCGTGTCGAAGATTCATATAATATATACACACCAACATTCCACTCCTAACCTAAATCCAACGAACATTTCAAAGATGATACATACAATACATTCATATCCAAATAATTTCTACTGCAACTGCAAGAATCAAAGACCAAAACCAGCTTCATACACCCATCAATCGATCGTCTTCTGTTGCCATAAGGCGACAATATCGACGTCGATTCATCGAGAACAGAGTCGAATAGTCGCCCAGCATCGATTTGTCATCGCAGCAATCGATCTACCTATCTATCGCCTCTCGCTCCTCAAGTAGTCCATTCGAATCCCCCACAGTTGCTCGCCCACCGCCTTCATGTCCGGCCGATCCGCTCTTGTCGGTGCAGCACATTGCATCGCCAAACCGAACATTTTCACTAGAATTTCGTCGTCCACGCTTTCCGTCATCATCGGATCCACCATCTCCCGGTACTTCCCTTCGTTGTATTTCCGAAAAGCCTGCATATTTTAATTCGATCATATTTCTGTATGTTAGATGATCTGAATAATTGTCTCATCTAAATATTTAGGTACTAGGAATAATTTAATTGACAAAATTATTCATAACTCCTCTACCGTTTCGAAACTCAGGGTAAATTCTCCTTTTACTTTGAAAATTGCACGACGCCCCTTCATACTTTAAAAAACGTTACATGAAACCCCCGCCATTCAAAAAATATACATGAAAAATCTTTTCATCACACGAAAAATGTAAAAAAAAATTCATACAATGTTTTTAAAAGTATAAGGGACACTATGCAATTTTTAAAATAATTTACGCTGAATTTCGAAACCACATTAGAGTTCAAACTCGTCGACTAAACGAAGCCAGAAAATAGAAGCTTACCCATTTAATCGTCACCCTCTCGTCGGGATGTCTTTTCAAGTCCACAGGTCGCCGGCCCGTCAGGACTTCGATTAGCAATATCCCAAACGAATAGACGTCACTCTTATCCGTGAGTTGATACGTCCTCATGTACTCAGGGTCGAGGTACCCGACTGTTCCCTTTACTTTCGTCGATACGTGTGTTTTATCAGACTCGTCCCCGAGTCTTGCGAACCCGAAATCCGCAACTTTGGCCCTCAAACTCTCCGTCAAGAGTATGTTGGAGGATTTAACATCTCGGTGGATGATTTTCTTCTCTGCAAATTCGACATATTAAACAACCATAACGAGCGCTCGCATGAACTAAATTAGCAAAGGGATCGACCACAAATAACCGCATTTCGACTTTTTCCTAAAGATCATCGAACAAAATAGTTTCATTTATGCACCTTAATCAAAATGCTTTCCCAGAAATTATAGCTAAAAAAACGATCAAGTAGAACTTCTTACCAGCGTAGAGATGGAGATACGTCAGGCCATGCGCGATGTCGATGCAGATTTCGAGCCGCTGATTGAAATCCAATATTTTTCCCTTAAGGCCTGCAGAGATCAACGGCCAAATTAAGCAAATTTTCTGTATGTGAGCTAAAAACCGGGCAGGCTTTCGAAGATCAAGATCATTTACCATCAAGGTGTTCTCTAAGGGTACCGTTGGGTACGTAATCTGTGATAATAAGGCGTTCGTTTCCTTTTTCAACATAACCAAGAAGCTTGACAAGGTTGCGATGATCAATTTTTGCCAGAAGTTCAACTTCACTTCTAAATTCAGTGCGTAGGGCCTCAAAATGTTCCTGAAATTAATCCAAATAAAGCGAGAAAAAACAATGTCCATCTTTCAAACACAAAAACTACAATGAATATTGTTAGAAATTATGCTTGTGGGATAAAAAAAAAGGCAACATATTACGCACCCTTCTTGCTCGTTTGATTGCAACGACCTGACCATTTGGTAGCTCAGCCTTATAGACAGTCCCGAATCCTCCTTCGCCTATCAGTAGAGACGAAGAGAAATTGTGTGTAGCCCTTGCAACATGGTTCATATTTAGATGGACAGATCCAAGGCGATTTAGTTTTGGCGACATGGAAAATCTTGAAGGACTTGGTGGCACTCTTAGTGGACTTGGAGGAGCCCTCAACGGACTTCCGGGATACTTTTCGAATGGAGGATTCATTTCTAAAGGCGTAACTGAGTCCACTGCAAGAATGTTTCGATGTCATACAAATAGAAACAAGGCAGGCTGCATGAAACTTATTAAGATATTTTTTTGGCGTTGAATGCAAAAAGCGAGATAAATAAAGCATACGAAAATCGTAACAGCATAAGATTAAACATGATCTTGACATAAGTAAGCAAACATTCATATTCATATGTAGGCAAGACAGATGCACAATTGGTAGCAAACGATTGAAAGATTGAAACATTATCATCGACTATTTCTCACTAGCTTTATTACTTTGTTTCCAGATAAATGTTATTTAGCGATGTATATAAATGCCACATTGGGCTTAAATGTAAAGAATGTTCAGAGGATATTCTCGGGCAAAAATGAAAAACAGTAATTGGAAAATTTCAAACCTAAAGCTATTTTAGGAAGGATGGGATCAATGTTTTCCCCTTGAATCGAATCAAATAGTGAATTTAGAATGTATGAAGCATTTAAATATCATACAATAGAAATGAAACTCAGCTAGTAGTGCATATAAACTTAAAAAATCAAACACGCAAGATATATATATAATTTTAAAGGTAAAAAACAACTACCATTATTAACGATATTCTAACACACCTCGCTCGTCAGATCAGCAAATGTATCTACTACTATTTTTCATTAATTTTAAAGTTTGGACCGAGACTTTAATTTTCTCTAAGTCGTCCTAATAAGCTACACTTTAAGAACACTTAGAGAAAATAATTGCTTCTTCACTCAATCATGACCCTACTATAAGCTAATATTGCGATTTTCGAAGGATTAATTTTCTGCTGAGGTGCCGGAAGAAACGCTACTTGTTTGTGCTTGGACACTGGGAAAAGTTCCATAATGAGTTGACATATCACATATCGGAAGAAATCAATTTTACTTTAAAATAACACAGATTTACAAAATACTTTAATATAGATGCCAATTGCATAAGATATAATGTTGTATGTGATCTAAAATTTAAATGGCAAACATTAAATTAAATGGAATTGACCATACTCACTGGAATTAGGCTCTTTTGAGAGAACTTTATGCTCGGTAGCTCTTTTCCTTGCTTGAAAACACGGACAAATCAACGCACAACATAAAAGGAAGAAACCCGGCGCCGCAATGACTAGCATACTGGATTTTACAATCCGATCGTCATTTTCATCATTTCCACTTGGAGACTTTTTACCATAACCAATCCTACTGTCTCCGTCCCTAACCACAGGTTTTAACAATCTTCTTCCTGCAAACAAAGAATGCGCGTCTGCAAGACAGTGAAACGATTAAGCTAATGAATCCAATCCCGACAATTATAATCCTAAGGCAAAATTGCTTCCGATCCATTCATGATTTGTAAAGTGTTTCACCATTCTCCCTCGTCATTTACAAACTGCACCAGGTTCTCTCGTGTTTTAAAATACATTGCGCAAAATTTCATTCCCATTTTTAGGTGACATTTTTGAAAACAAAAGAGCGTCTCGTGCAATTTAAAGAAAATTTTGTGCAATATTTTCTCAAACACGATGAGCCTTATGAATACGGTGCAGACTTTCCAAACCACGAATAATAATGATAAACCTCGAAAGCTAAAGATGAAAGAAGAGATCGATGATACCTAACGAACGGCAATAATGGCTTCTAACATGTTTCGGAAGAAAGCAATCTCTCCTATGAAACCTCAAACTCTTACAGAATAAATATCTGTCCACCAATTTCCCATCAATGTAAAACAGCTCATGACTAGGATCATCGACCCTAGCTATATGGAATGTTCCACAAGCCTTTCCATGTTTCGACAACCCAAAACAAGGCACGATCGGCAAAAGCACATGAACAAGTAAAATCAACAAAACTAATCCCATTTTCAGCAATGATTCACACCAGAATTCCCATCACTATGGAGCTCCACATCCAACCATGGCCTCAGAATCATGAATTAGTATATATATCTCTACAATTCCAACCTGATATGCATCACAATAGAAATTTTTTTGAATCGAAGAACAGAATACACTCTTCAAAATCAAAATCAAAATCAAATACCTTCCTTACATTCTTCTTGCTCTTGAATGAACCTTCTGACAATCAAAAAGTAATTTTCATTACAAAGCTTCGAGGGGTATCAAAATTCAAGCAATAATCACACAGGCAGTGATTTCAGACCTCAGAATCAGAACCAAAACCTTCGATTCAACTCAGGATAGTTCAGTTTTCGAATACCCACGCATCAATTTCACAGCCAAATCACTGAAACAAAACCCCTGACTTCCACCAGAGAATCCAATCCCTAAAATCAATACTACCAAGATCACATCAAAAAAATCAAAACTGAACAAAAACCCCAGCTGCAAATCACGAAATCCTAAAAGCCACTGAACCCAAGAAACCCAACAACTTATTTTTTTTTCTACAATTTCGGAAACTCCAATAATCAAACAAGCATTTAATTGAGTAACCTCTCTCTCTCTCTCTCTCTATATATATATATATATATATACATACACACACAAATAGGCGCAGTAAATACAAGTCAAAACATTAATTGAGGTCAACCAATGAATCCAAAAAGATAAAAGGCTGCTTACAGAGAATGAGAAGCCATACCAACAGAGGCGAAGTTTGAACGTAGATTTTGATGATTTGTTCCGATAGGGTCCAGGAAATCAATTTTTCTTTTTTTTAAAAAAAAAATAGTACTAATAAAATTAAATAAATAAGGGCGTTTAGATAAAGCTCGGGAAGCAGTGCAGGAAGCGTCGAGGAAGATCGGTGGGCTCCCACGCCATGTGTGAACACCTCATTTCATTTTGTAGCAGATGATTTGTTTCGATTTGGTGGTGAAAAGTGACAGCAGCAAACAAACAATTATTCAAAATTCAATTCGTACTCATTGATTGTGAGGGTGGTTTACGTACCAATTGAATCGGGATTGGGAAATTGTTGACTCAATGAGGTTTTTCTTTTCTTAGGATTTGCTTTATTAGACCTAAATTTTCTGAGGCTGTGCTTGTTTGTGCGATTTTCAATTTCACATGGTTTTAACGTAGCGAGGGAATTGGGTGATCATGTTTTAAAATCAGCACGATGATAATGTAAATATTATTATACATAATTATATTAATTATATATTTTAGGACGTGTTTTTGACAATTAGCTGATTCAATTAGCTGATTCGATCAGCTGTTTGTATTAAAATTAAAATGTTTGGTAAAATAATTGTTTGATATTAGCTGTTTATACGTAACATTTCTATTTTATTTATGTTTCTAATATATTCAATTATAATTTTTTTGAGTTTGGAATGTTTAAAATTTTTATGTTATTAGTTATTGAAAATTGTAAAAGTATTATAAAAGTATTTATTTTTATTACGGTTAGATTTAAAAAATAATATATTTTTATTAAAATATATAAATAATTTTTTTTTATTGAAAATGATGTAAAATATAAATAATAAATTTTTAGTGTATATATTTATTATGTTAGTTATCGATTAGTTCATTATATTTATAATTTTCAATAAATTTAATTTATTTTTAGTATAAAATTTATATAATGTAATTTTAATAAAAAATAAATTATTAATATTTATATTTTTTATTTTATGTTGATTTTAATAAATTTATATATTTTACAATTAAAATAATTTTTATATAAAAATTAATTATTTTAAATCTATAAAAATAAAACTATAATATAATAAAATATTCTAATATAATTAATAAATAATCAAAATATATTTATTTGTGTAAAATGTATAATAAATTTTTAAGGGCATATAAGGAATAAATTTTTTTTTTACAGAAAAAGCTATTTCAAAACGTTGGTAAGTTAGCTTTTCAGAAATTAGCTTTTTGGGTCCAAAAAGCTAATTTACCAAACACCTAAATTAGTTTTTTGAAAAGCTGTTCAATAAGCTAAAAGCTCTTTAAAAAGCTATTTGTCAAACACCCTCTTAATAAAAATAAATTAACATAATTAACTTTTACATTATCATCATATTATAGTATTTTTTTTCTTAATAAAATACTCTATTTTTTTTGTTCAATTTTAATTAATAATTTGTATGCCCCATATCTTTTATCAATATTACTGTGTATATAAGAGAATTTAAGTAAAATATAATATTTTAGTAATATTTATGGGGAAAAAAAATCTAGACAGACAAATTGACAATGATGAGCTCGAGCAGCCTTTTAATAGTCAATATGTATGTTTGCAATATTAATACTGCATATCGTTCTAAATAAATAATTTTCTGCACGGCCGTGTCGGATTTTAACACGGCCGTGTAGTTTTGAATTTATCTGAATTTTTTTTTTTTTTTTTATGTACACGAACACCGCTGTGTTGGTCCTAATCGGATGCTATATCAGCTCATCCGTTATGTCTACCTCAGCGTTTCTGTTAGTTTTTTTTAGAGGTGAGACTGAAATTGATTAAAATTAATTATATTTGAACCAAAATTGATGAATTTTTTATATTGAGACTAAAATTGATTTTTTTTTTTTAAAAAAAAGTATATTAGTTAAAATAATTATAAATTAATATTAAGATAACTAAATAATTTAATTAAAATTCAAAAACTTATAAATTATAAAAATTAAAATGTGGCTACAATTTATAATCGTATTGTCAAAAAATAAAATAAATTATGTGGGATTAATCAAAATGAAAAAAAAAAAAAAAGAATATTTTATGTGAAATTGAGGGAGTATTTTTTTTCATAACAAGTGACACGTTTCTATTTTTGAATAAAATTATTAAATCAAAACATACTTTACATACATAAATAAGTTAATTAATACATAACATATAAAATCATACACTAACTCAAAACCTATTTGTTTCGATTTCTCCTAAAAAAGTAAATATTTTTATTTATATTTAAAACTTCATATTCTTTATACAATTAGTTTAAATTAATTATAATTAAATAAAAATATATTTTTTAATTTACTTGTATTATAGAAAAATTTATTTTGTACGATATTCATATTGCATATATTTTTTAATTGGGATATAATTTTTAAAATATGTAAATACATATTCTATTTTTTAATATATATTAAATTTATTCAAATTTCATAAAAAAAATAATAAATAATATCATAATATTCTATTATTAACTAATTAGACGTCGTTATAATATTATGAAATAGGTCAATTGTTACGAGAGAATATTATTTAAATATTAAATCAAATCAAAAAAATTTCAAATGAGCAAAAAATTAATATTAGTCTCAATCAAAATTATTATTATTTTTTTTTTAATCTCATTTAAAAATAATTATCAAAAACTAATTTTATACAGACAAAACAAATCATCATTTTTAATCTCATCATTAAACTTTACACGAGATGTGTGCATGACTGCAACAAAAATTGACGTGGCATATTATTATTATTATTATTATTATTATTATTATTATTACACTTTTCCACCGCGCCGGCTTTTGGTTTTGTATTTGGTTTTAGAAAAGATTATTTTTTTTAAATTAAATTAATTATTTAATATAATATAAATATATATTGATTTAACTTTTTTTAATTTAAATTAAATTTCAAATAAAATAATAAATAAAAATAAGTATTTTCTTTGTCCCATCTTAATTTATATAATTTTCATTTTTATATTTCTTGTAACAATGGACACATTTTTATTTGGATAAAATTTACTAAAATAAAACATATATAACAAATATAAATCAACTTAATTAACTCTATATAGCATCACACCCTAGATCCATTCAAAATATTTTTATTTTTATCTCTTACCTAAAAAGCAAATATGTTTATCTACATTTAAAACTCCAATTCTTTTATAAAATTATTTTATATTAATTATAAATAAGTAAACATATTTTTTATTGATTTATAGTATAAAAAAATTTATTTTCTATAAAATAATGATATACATACTGCATATATTTTTTTAAATATTTAAATACATATTCTAATTTTTATAATTATATATATTAAATTTATTATAAAATTATTAATATTATTAATTATATAAATAATAATAATAAAGTAATATTATAATTTACTGTTATTAATTAAATTCAACATTATTATTTAAAATATTATGTCACTTATAAAACTTATTAATTCAACAGAAAAGAAGAAGTCTTAATGTGATATTTTAAAAGAACATATAATAATAATATTAAAACTACAATCTTACAAACAAATCACTATTAAATAATAAAAAATATTACTATTAAATTTTAATTTTTTTTTTGTTATAAATTAAAAATAACACGCACATAGACATTACATCAAATCTCTTTCATTTTGTCCATATATTATCATTGTATTCAATATAATCACTAAAAACCTAAAACCTTAGTAACAAACATACCAGGGGTGTGTTTGTCTGAGGGTTTGGATTTTGAATTGCAATACGAATAATAAAAAAATTGAATTTGAGTAGTTATATGATGCGATATAAATAAAAATTGACGTGATGTTTTGAATGTAAAATTAATTTTTAGTATAATATAAAAAAATAAAAAATAAATATTTGATTTGATATTTTTAAAAAAAAAATTTTGTAAAATTAGTAGAAATTCCACAAAATCCCTCAAACAAACACACCCTTAGAGTGTATCTGTATTTGGGTTGGTTTGAAATATTCTGATTTATATAATTAAGTAATATTTGATAGATATTTTGTGATTTAAAAAATTTAGTATATTATTTTAGAAATTTATAATTTAAATAGAAAAATTTAAAATTTTTTATAAAGAAAAACACATATCTTTCAAAATCAAAACACAAAATCAAAACCTTATAAACAAATATACTCAGAGAGTATGTTTGTTGCGGGTTTGAATTTTAGGTTGAAATTTAAATAGTAAAAAATTTGATTTGAAATAGTTATAAAATATGATATAAATAAGTATTGATGTGATATTTTAAATATAAAATTAATTTTTCTAAAATAATATAAAAATAAAATATAGCTGTTTGATTTAACTATTTTTTAGAAAATTTTTTGTGTAAATAGTTCCTTCAAAAATCCTTTCGAACAAAAAGTTTCTCTACATCTCTACATCACCATTTATTTTTTCCACCTCAAAAAAAATATATACATATATATAAATATATTTATATTAAAATTATTTATTTTTAAACTTAAACTTCAATGAAAAAAAATACCAATATTTATATTATTGTATAGAAAAAAAAAATTATATAATAAAAAATAAATTAAAAAAAAAAACATAATGTTTAGGATGGACGAAGTATGTTTTATTGGAAATTGCGGCGGCTACAGTGCTGAATGTAAACTGTGTTGAATATCATATTATGTGCTATAAAATAGCACACGGTGTTACCATAAACCACACATAATATACTTTAATATAATATAAATACAACGCATAACCTAATAACACATGATATAGTCTCGCACAACACATACAATACTTGATTTCAGCACATGACATACTCTCATACAACACACGCTATAATTATGAACTAACAACACATATTTTTAGTACAA